TTTACCTTACCATAGCTGTAATAATTAGTGGCGAGATTTCTTTTAAGTTGTAAAAGGGTTTGACTCTCTGTTTGTTTTAAAGCTTAAATGTGGCGAGTTTACAGGGAACCATTTTTTTTAATTTAGCATGTTTTGCTGATTGAAGAGCCTTGCTATGTTCATAAGCTATTTCACGGGAGTCACATTATCTGGTGCTTTAACTGTAACTAAGAAAATCTAAATTAATCGTAATTAATAGGATAAGCTTCTCACGAATCGGTTCAGGCAATTTTATTCTAATAAGTTAATGTTAGATGTATCAGATGTACTAATGATACAGTTTTACGAGGTTTAAGGCCAATTATCAATCTTAACAGCCCAAGCTAGTTTAATTAAGGCAACACTTGCTGTAATTATCATTTGCATTCTCACTGTGTAATGATAACCCTTCATCACTAACAATCCATCTCTCTATTTACATTTCTTAACTTGCAAATGAATGATGCATGTTAATTGCGGTCAATCAGAATAAAATCGAATTATTACAATACAATTAATAGAATACATGTATGCTTATAGAATAAGCTTCTCACAAATTGGTTAAGTAAATTTAATTAACCCAAAACTTAATTTTAGATGCATCATATTTACTAATGATAGTTTTTCGAGATTGAAAGCCAATTATCACTTTTTGACAATCGAGACCATTTTAAATTCGAAGACAAACATCTTACAAAAATATAATTTAGTTTATTATTCTGTTATACGGTCCAGAGAATCAAATTGCTGTGAGTTTTGAAAAATCAAAATTTTAAACTCATTAAAAGAGGTTAAAAGATAAAGGATAAAAATGAGGGCGTAAATATGCTCAAACTGACTTTTTCTGACGTGAATTTGTATCAGCATACAAATAGATTCGGTTTTGCCTGGCGAGTGATTATATTTGTATGGTTGCTGTTCAACCCGTGAAGACTCTAACCCTCTAAATTCATGTTATATTATACAGATAATCTGTTGATTATTTATAAATCCTAAGTTGTATTAATATCTCGAGAAAATTTGATATTTTGTTTTTTTAATTTTGTGTCAAATATGGATTTACTAGAGACTAAGGACCAGCTTATAATAGTTAATCGATCCAAGGACCATAAAATTAGCAAACAACTAATTCGTAAAGTGCCTTATTTTGAAAAGATGTTGAGCCTGGATTTGAAGGAATCAAAGGAAAGTAAAGTTGTATTGGATTTTGATTCAAAAGCTTTACAATCGTTCCTCGATTGGCTTATACTAGGTAATATATTTATCGAGATGGATTATGTAATAAATCTGTGCAACATGATAGACTATTTCGGGATTAAGGATCATTTGGTGCAAGATTTCAATAACTATTTCAATGATAATTTTTCGATTGAACATCTTCCCGTTGTTATCCCGCAAGTAACTCCAGTATCTAAATTGATGAACTCGAGTCATCTCAATGCTTTCATATGTCGATACTTCACAAAGATAATAGACACAACTATTTGGTTGGATTATCCAATTGAAACGATTGATTACATGTGTTCGTTGGACTTGATGATTCACTCAGAATACCAAGTATTCGATGCAATCATGAAATGGATCAAGGCAAAGGTGGCTTCCAGAAAGTGCTATATTGAAAGATTGTTAAAGTTAGTCCGTTGGTGCCATTCGGAAGATAAGGATTTACCTAAAATGAAGGAGCAGGTTCGATCTCTCAATTGTCAACCTTCGAAATTATCCTCTTTCAGAAAACGTGATTGTGATCTTACTTGCAACCGAACCAAGCAAGAGTATTTCATTGAGATTTACCATTTGAATGCCACAAGTTTGCGAATCATAATATCTGACAGTAATTTTTATCCATTGATAGAGCAAGTCATTAAATTAAACAATAGTATGACTATTGATGTTCTTCATGTTGAACATGTTTCTGATGTCTTTTTTGATTCTGGTAAGGAAGGAATTCGAATTGATTGGAAACGCAATGAATATCGTTTGCTTGCGGCGTACGAATACAAAGCTTTGTGTGTCAAGATCCACAATTGCATTCAAGAGAAGAACATGTAAGTATAATAATTGTTTCGAAATTGCTTTTTATTGATGTCGATTGATCTTGCTTCATCTTGTTTTATCTACATTTCAGTTTGAAAAATAATATTCCGGATAATATTGCAGATATACTTCATAGGTATGGAGCTTTACTTTTCGAAGCTAGGGAAAAGTTTCTGTTAATTCGCAATAATTATTTACTTGTATGCTTGCCAGCCAATGCCGAACTAATTTTCAAAAATTTTCAAGGGGAAGGACGATATTTCCGCGCAACCATTTTAGGTGATAATATTTATATAGTGGACCATTATGCAGATTTCATCAAGTTCAACATTTATACAAATGAAAAAACAGTTATCGGATGCGAAAAATTTAAAAATAGACTGACCTTCGATAATTTACTTATAACTTCAAGAAAAGCTAACGATGATAGAGTTTTTTTCATTGATAAATCCTCAAAGGATGCCTTTTGTTTCAACGTCAACACTCAACAATGGAGTTCAATGGGACGCATCATTAACCGTAAATTTTCTATCGTCCAAGATTCAACTAATAAGCTGTTAACTTTAAACTCGACTTTCATATCGTTGGATACTATGAGGACTTACTTGACCCATAATGACAACTCGAAAAATTAATAATGTATTGCAAAATTATTCATACACTGAGTGCGAAGAGCTCGGAGAAATTCTAACTTTCTTTTTCAATTCCTCAAGCTATCCTGTTTGGTTTCAGTTTCAAGCGGATATATTAAAACGAAACTATCTTGTCAAAAATAATTGCCTTCGTTCAATATTTTCCTTGATATCCCTGCGAAATTAAGTGCAAATAACTTTTTGATTCATTGAATTATTTAACCAATCTCCCGTTCAACCAATTCAATTCAATTCTGACTTTTCTGCACAGAAAGGAAATAATTCATCAGAGCATAATTATATTTAGATTGACATCATTTACTATAAAAACCGATGTCCTTAATCTTTTGAGTTATCGAGTCATAAGTGGAGTTCTGATTATAGTCGGGACGAATCTAGTAAGTTGATCACTTCAACCCCAGCTTTTCTACCGTTAGACAGTTGATCTTCGATCAGTACTTGCTCAAACCAGAACCTTAGTTAAGCGTAACTCAGTTCAATAACGATTTTTGACACAATTATCGTTGACTAATTATTGTTCTTAACAATTCATGTGTACAGTCAACCAAATTAATTACTTGGGTCATGTACTTGAAAGGTCTTTGAATTGTCAGACAAAGGGTAACAGAATCGAGGAATCGATATAAACTTACAGTGGAATGGAGGAACATTTGTCTTTGGTTTTTTAATGGATAACCTTATTGTTTGATCGATTCGATCCGGTATGACATTTCCAACTGTTTTAATTGATTAATCAATTGGTTTAAATTAAATTAGGAGCTAATTTCTGTTTGGAGCTGTAAAATATTTTCAAGCTTTTGTTTGTTCAAAAATTAGTGTTCAAACTTCTCTTACACTGAAATACTAATCTAACTCAATTTGGGTTTGTAAAATCTTTTTCATTTAACAAGTAGATGACTCAGACGACGAACCAGTCAAAAAATTTTAAATGGATTAAAATAAAACCATTCACTGATTGGCACAAATGGCTGGCTCCGGTTTCAGTTTACATTGGATGCGTTAGTTTTGTCTGTGTACCATTTCAAGTCTTGTAAAATTGTCCTTAAGTTTCTTTCGATTATATCATCCATTTACTAAAAAGGTGCTCTTTTTAAATATTATACTGAGAACATTCAATTCTATGTTGTGAATCATGATTGTAGTCGTCAGTTAATTTTTACTTTCGTTAATCGTTTCATAGATCTAAGATCTATGAGATTACCTATTCTTCTATTTTATTAGGAAGCTCATATTTTAAAAAACGTAAATTATGCGAGACTTTTAAATTCGATAGATGGCGACGGTGACAATCGCCTTGTGAGATGCTCAAAAAATTGACTAAACCGAGTAAAGTTTAAATGATTTAAATTTGGCTGTTATAACTGTTGCTAAGGTTTCCGTTCTTATTAAACGCTTTTCTCTGATTGGTTGGGTGCATTTGAATCTCTAGTTACATTGTAACTGTTTTATTCGTTCATCATTAGATTCCGAAATTTTCGTGTGTTAGAACTTTTTCCCCTTTTACGCACAGAGAACTGTTTGATTTGTTGTTTTATTCAGCGCCACTCTTCAACGCAGACAAGGCTCGACCACACAGCAAAACTTTCCGATTACTCAGCAGCCAAACTGATTTTTAGATATTTTTTTATTTCACGAAAATTTGATATTTTGTTTCCAATTTAATTTTGTGTTTCAATATGGATTCATTAGAGACTGATGACCAACTTACAATAGTAAATCGTTCATTGGAATATCAGATTAGCAAAAAACTAATTCGTAAAATACCTTATTTTGAAAACTTGTTGAGCCTGGATTTGAAGGAAGCAAAGGAAAACAAAGTTGACCTGGACTTTGATTCAAAGGCTTTTAAATCAATCTTCAATTGGATTGAAATCGGATGTATCCTCATGGAGATGGATTGTGTAATAAATCTGAGTAACATAGCTGATTATTTTGGGATAACTGATGGTTTGATAGACGATTGCTTCACTTTTTTTCATGATAATTTTTCAATTGAGCATCTACCCGTTATTATACCTCAAGTGACCTCAACATCTAATTTGATAAATTCTGGTGCTCTCAATGCCTTCATCTGTCGTTATTTTTTGAAAATTGTTAACACACCTACTTGGTTGGATTATCCTGTTGAAACGGTTGGATACATTTGTGTTCTGGATTTGATGGTTCATTCAGAATTTCAAGTTTTCGACGCGATCATGCGATGGGTGAATTTTACTGCTGATTTTAGAAAGTGCTATCTTAAAGAATTGTTAAAGTTTGTCCGGTTATGCCATTTAGAGGATAAAGATTTATCGAAGATAAAAGAAAATGAAGCTGTTAGCTCTTCAGACTTTGAACCAGAATTATGCTCTCGTAATAATTGTAATTGTGGAATCGACCGAACTAAACAAGGTTATTTTATCGTAATTGATGGATTGCGCGACAAAAATTTGCGAGTCAAAGTACTTGACGGTGACTTCTTTCCATTTATTAATCAAGTAATGCAATCAGATGAATCATTGCCTTTGAATATTTTCCATGGTAAACATTTTTCTGATATTCCATTCCATTCTGGAAGGAAAATGGTACGAATCGATTGGAAGCAAAATAAATATCGTTTGTTTGATTTTTCAACTTATAAATCGTATTATCATAAAATTCATCGATGTATTTTTGATGAGCAAGAAGGGTGAGTAGTCGATTAACTTTTCCTTTAATTATAATCCAACACTCAATTTTTGTCAAATTCACTATTGATACATATTGTCCTATGAAGTTTCACCGTCTTTCGAGAAGCTTACTCTACTTCATTCATACTTTTTTTAAATATTTTTTAATAAAAACCTGCTTTTTCATTTTAGTGAGAGTTCCAATGTGGCGACTCGACAATCTTGCGCATCATCATATGATGTTTATGAAGGTTCACTCCTCGAAACGGCCGAAAAGTTCATTCTTGTTCGTAACGAGGAATTCGACTTCAGATGTTTGAATAATCCATCCATTCAAGATGTTAATTATTATTTCGAATTGAACTATAAACTTACTTACATGGCAACTATTTTGGATAATAATATTTACATGCTGACACACAGTTTTGAATTTTTCCAGTTCAATATTGATGGTAATCTCGAGTTTAAAAAGATAGCACTTCCAAGGCTGCGAAATAAATTTAAATTCAGTAATTTACTTTTAACATCTAAGCAAGCTGATGATGATAGAGTTATATTTATTGATAGGACCACAAAGGATATTGTCTGTTTCAATGTCAACACTCAAAGATTGAAATCAATCGGTCGAATCATTGATTGTAAAAGCAAATCTACGGATGGTCAAAAGGAATCTAATGCCCTTTTAACTTTCACCTTTGGATTTGTATCAACGGACTCGATCAACCTGTGCCTAGAACGTAAATTAACACAATGAAAAACTTCCATTTGACATTAACCAAGAACTATTGCTTGATATTCTTATTAGTTTCATTAAATTTTATTTAAACGTTTTTTTACTTATTTACATTATTTCACTTCTTTTATTCATAGCCTTTTCCATTGCAATTTTCAATTGATAAGATTGAATTGGCTTTAATGTAGTCCAGTCAGGCTGCAGTTTCAACGAGTAAACAATTCTGTCACGGTCGAAAGTCGATTCAATCTTACAAAGAATCAATCGAAAACTGATAAAAACTAGTCCCAACTTTTGTTTTCATTAACGTTAAAACTCATGATTCATCTCGTCTTTAAAATTTTGCATGATAACATGATAACATGAACAATGTGTATTACGGATCCACAAAAATCGTCCATTGCGCGAAGGGAAAGATTTTTCCTCCTCACAGGTTTAATACAATGCGGACTCTACAGGGTGTAACTAAAGTTTGTGTAGGAGGCAAAAAAGCATTTCCCTGCCTACACGGTGGATCAAAAGTAAGGCAAAAGGGGCTCGGTTTAACATGCTCAGCTTTAGTAGACAAAATAAAGGAGGACCTGCAAATGAATAGGGCAAATCTCCTCTTAGGATATATTTATGAAATGAACTTTTTCGAATGTAATTTTTCATGCTGATTCCGAATATCTGTTTCTTTTTTTGCTAAATTAACGCATTCGAGAGGAAAGTTCATATCATGATTCGAAGGTTGCATTTTTTAGCACGTTAGAAGAGGTCGCTAAGCCAGCCGATTCTATTCGTGATCTATGTTATCAAAGATGCTGAACAATATAGTGAAGGTTTGGTCCCTTAAAAAATCGCCAAATAGGGTTAAAATTGCGAAAAACCAGATTAAAATATAGATTTATTAATGACCTTTTAAACATAATGAAGATGCCGTCTAAGCCAGCTAAATATTGACATTATCAGTGTAATCAAGTATGTTGAATATTATAGTGAAGGTTTGGTTCCTGAAAAAATAGCCAAACAGGGTTAAAATTGTAAAAAACTGAATTTGAACAGGGATTAATAAGCGTATTTTTGAAAATGATGAAGAAGCCGTCTAAGCCAGCTGAATCTTTTCAAAACAAATGTAATCGAGCATGCTGAATAATTTAGTTGTGGTTGAAGCTTTGAAAAAATAGCCAAACAGATTGAAAATTGCCGAAAACTGGATTTCGTTAAATTTTACTAAATGTCGATGCAACACCCTGTTTGGCTATTTTTCTAGGAACCAAACCATCACCATATTATTCAGCATACTCGGTTACATTTGTTTTGAAAAGATTCAGCTGGCTTAGACGGCTTCTTCATCATTTTCAAAAATACGCTTATTAATCCCTGTTCAAATTCAGTTTTTTACAATTTTAACCCTGTTTGGCTATTTTTTCAGGAACCAAACCTTCACTATATTATTTAACATGCTTGATTTCATTGATAATGCTAATATTTAGCTGGCTTAGACGGCATCTTCATTATGTTTAAAAGGTCTCTAATACTATGTGATATTTAGATATTTTGGCCGATATCTCAAAAACTATGCATGCTATAAAAAAATAGATTCGATTTATGAAATTGGCATTAAATTTTGTGTCTGAAAAGTATCATTTCAAAAGAAATCGAAAACAGGCGATTTTGCAGGTCCTCCTTTGTCTTCTGAGCATGCTTTCCCCTAAACAAAAATTTTTAATTCCAATCTTTTTCCACCTCATTCACTAGAAATATGTAAACCTTAAACAAGGCAAAAATCTTACAATCGTACACCATTGTATTTCGTGAACCAAAGCGAACATAACTCCCAACCAAAATAAAATTTTTATCCACCTAGTAGAAGAGTTGGTTTGTTGGTGTAACATTCAACACTTTAAGTCTCAAATTTGCATTGTTTTTATTCTCCTTGACGCTTTCTTCAGCTCAATTCCACTTTTAAAAAGCTAGTTTTAGCTTCTTTGAATATCATTGACAAATAATCTGTTCAGTTGATTCTTAGTGCCAAGCTGTCTGATTGATCTGTGAAACTTATTTTGAACATTTTGTTGTTTTTAATTGAGTGAATAATGGATTCTTTAGAGGCTGATGATCATCTTACAATTGTGAATCGATCGATGGAAATTCGTATTAGTAAAAAACTAATTCGTAAAATACCTTATTTTGAAAAGATGTTGGACCATAATCTAAAGGAATCAAAGGAAAATAAAGTTGTACTGGATTTCGATGAAACGACCTTTAAGTGGTTTCTCAATTGGATTAAATTCGGTAATACCTTCATTGAGATGGATTTTGTAATAAATCTGTGTAACATGGCTGACTATTTCGGGATTACTGATGGTTTGATAGACGATTGCTTCACATATTTTCATGGTAATTTTTCAATTGAGCATCTACCCGTTATTATACCTCAAGTGACTTCAACATCTAAGTTGGTCAATTCTGGTGCTCTCAATGCCTTCATCTGTCGTTATTTTTTGAAAATTGTTAACACACCTACTTGGTTGAATTATCCAGTTGAGACGATTGAATATATTTGTGCATTGGATCTTATGATTAATGCAGAAGTGCAGGTATTCGATGCAATCCTGAAATGGGCCAATTTCAAAGCTGACTCTAGAAAGTGCTATCTTATAGGATTGTTGAAATTAGTTCGATGGTGTCATTTGGATCTCAAAGATTTAAAGATAAATTGCAATTTGACAATTTACTTTTAACATCCAAGCAAGCTAATAATGATAGAGGTATTTTTATTGATAAGACTGCAAAAGATATTGTCTTTTTGAATGTCAGCACTCAAGAATGGAGTTCAATCGGTCGAATTATTGATTGTAAAAGTAAATCGACGGATGGTCAAAAGGAATCTAATGTTCTTAAAACTTTTACCTTGGGATTCATATCATCGGAAACCATAAAACTTTGCTCAAAAAGTAAACGTAACCGTAAATTAACACAATAAAGTAAAGCTTTTTTATTATTAATAATTCAAACATTCATAAATTGAGTACAATGAATTGATATTATAGTTAATTTTATTGCATTTTCATCCAAACATTTGATTATGCAAATCTATGTGTTTATTAAACACATCAAAGCTTCTTTAGTATGTTGTTTTTAAGTAGATTATTTTGCTGAAAATCAACGATGCAAAAATCGAGGGTCTACTGTAATTATTTCATAATTGGACAATCGATGATCGATTAATGATCACACATTTGATCAGTTTGAAATTTTTCATTCCTTTTAAAAAACTTTGTTCATGGATATCATTCATCACTATCAATAATAAATTGTAAAGCATTATTAATCGATGTCACTTGCCGTTAATCGACCGAACAGATATGATCATGTGATTTATGATTCATTGAGTCTCTTAAAATACATTATATTCGCTGAACTCTAACGACTAGATTGACTTACAAATGGCTAGATTTTTATAAGTACAGTTTACTAACAGGTTACAAGTTAGTTCATGTAAATGATGAACACTGATCATAACATACTTTCTTCAGATTTTTCATCGAAGTATTAAATTGAATTTAATAAGACTGGGTTAGCTGTAGATTAAACGAGTGTAACAATGCTATAGCGAAAGTGCATTTTAACCAAAATTTATTCAAGCTATCTCTAGAATCTATTGAAAATTGATGTGACTGTAAATTACAGTAGTTCACAATCAAATGAACTCACTTTTTTATTCATTAGCCAATTATTTTCAGTCACCGAAACTAAAAATTTCCTCATTTATTTTTTTGAACGTTAGATTTCTGCACTCCAAAAAGGCAAATTATACGAAGTTTTGGTGTATCAATGTTTGCTTTCTCACTGTTTATGGTTAACCCTTCATCATTAACATTCCATTTTTTGTTCACATTTGTTTAACTGGCCAATAAAATGACCGTTACCGTTAAACAGATAATGATTCAAATACATGTGTTACTTAAACTCAATCAGTAATGGAAATTGAATTACATGATTCTTCCAGGATAACTGCATCAGATGTATTAATGATGATTTACGAGGTTGGAAGTCAATTATCATTTTCAAAAATCTCAGCCATTTTTAATTAAGGCAACAATTTTCTTGAGATGAGAAATCATTTTACCAAGTATTCTGTTTTAAAGTCCAGAGAATGAAGTTGCTTAGAGTTACATTGTCCTATCACATGAAAAATTTAAAATTAAAGGTCAAAGTCTAAAAGGGAGATAGCTGAAAGAATAAGAATAACTTGTATATGAGATATACATACATTTATATAAAGGGTGAACCAAAAGTAGGGACACAAAATTTGAAACTGGATTTCTTGGTAAATACTCAAGGGATTTATTTGATCTTGAGATATTTTGTAGATTAGAACTCGAACAATAAGTTGGTTATTTAATTATTGATGTGAGACATTCTTGAAAAATTTTACGTAATTTTTGCTTCATGCTTACCGTTAAAGTCTTGCCAAAGTTTTAGATGATTTTTTCGTTGTTATTTTTTACCGATTTTTTTAAATAAAATGCATTTTATGATAGATTACATCTTGAAGAGCATTTCTAGCTACATCAAGAGCAGAATTTTTCAAACGGACGAGCCACGGGCAAGTTTTTCCCTGAAATTTCCTGAAATTTTTGAGCTTTCACTTGAATTTTTTTCATCTTTAACATAGGGAATGGCAAACTCGAGTATAAAAAATTAATTTTCAGCGCGAATACTGATCATATTTGATTCTCAAAATACAAAATTTTGATATTAAATCGAAGCTAGAAAATTTCTCTATCCGTTTATGCTCTTTAATTGCTTAAGGACATAATAGCTTTTCAAATAATCCGCTTAAGATTTTTGTGTCCCTACTTTTGGTTCACCCTTTACCAGTATGTACGTATAGCTAACTTGAGCCATATTTGAAATACAGTTCCTTATAATACTAATATACCAAATTTTAAAACTGAAACTTTTTTTTTAAAACTAACCCTAACTCCTCAAGTTTTATTAATATCTCGAGAAAATTTGAGTTTGTTTTTTAATTTTGTGTCCAAATATCGGTGTTGCTCATTCAAAATTCACCATAATTACCACCCAAATTTAACACATCAACCAAATCAAACACCATAACTTTTTAATGATACTTTTCTCAAAGAAATTGACCACAAAATTGTTCACCACTTTTTGGATATGATGGTGATTTATAGTGGATGTGTTAGATTTGGGTGGTGGACAATTTGTTGGACAATAAAGTGAAAAGTGATGGAAAAGCCACTTTGAAAGTGGTGAAAAAAGCCGGTTCCATTTGAGCTAGAAGAGGAAAGTTTGTTATCTCAATGCGTCACTTTCAAAGTAAGACAAAGTCTCTCACTGGCGCCATTCAGTCTAGTCTAACTGGTGCGAAAGTCAATCACTGATTGGTTTAAATAGTCACCTCGGGTAACAAAAAATTGGGACTCTACATTAAAGGCTTTATACTGCTTTCTTGCCTGAATTAAAGATTGAGCAAAAGGTCGAGATATCAATTGATTGAAGTGAATAAGCCAATAAGACAATGAAACATAAGGTGATCTTCCAGATCGATTCCGTCATAAATGAAATGATATTTTAGGTCAGTCAAACAAAATTTTCGAGTAATTATCAATATTAATAAATCAATTTTAACTCGTATAGTTGCTTTCAAAGATCAATCTGGGACCGGCTTTTTACCACCAAATGTCCACCACTTTTTCAATCTCTTTTAATCACCTTTTGTACCGTATTGTCCACCATCAGCTTTAATTAACAACATACATTTGAAAAAAGCCAATCTCTGATCAACTCACAATCGCGAATCGAAGAAACAGAAGAGGCTAACATTTTAACTCGATATAAGCCCTTGTAAGCCCTCTCCTTGTTTGCATCTTTTCCCTCATTATCCAACTATTACTCAAAAGCCAATTAGTAATTGTATAGGAAATCAAATTACAAGCTTAAGTGTAAAATAACTGCATCAAATGTACTAATGGTTGTTTGTGCGATTCCAATCTCAACTATTTTTAATTCGGAAAACAATCATCTTGAGAAAAAGACTTATCTTGCTTACAAGTCATGTTAAACAATTTAACCAATTAAACTGTTATGAGTTATTAGCAAAGTTAACTTTAACGAATATTTTCAAATTTTTGTAGTTTCTTTGTCTCTAACAAAGGATTGTAAGGATACACTCACTTGTCAGTGTATTACACAGTCTGGTTCAAACTGAATCATCTGATTTATTCAAACAATTGATTTGCACTGTAAACTGTTTCCATAAAATTTACTATTTTGTGTTTTATTTAAATTGGTGATAAAATAATGGACTCATTCGAAACTGATAATCAACTCACAAATCAATGGAACATCGTATCAGTAAACAAATGATTCGTAAAATACCTTATTTTGAAAAGATGTTGAGTCATGAATGCTTGGAATCAAAGGAAAATAAAGTTGTACTGGATTTTGATGAACAAGCTTTCAAAATAATTCTCGATTGGGTTGAACGCGATTATACTATTATTTTGATCGAGATGGATTACGCATTTGATTTATACGAGTTGGCTGATTATTTGGGTCTGGATGGGATTTCCAAGGAGTGTATCACCTATTTTCATAAGTTTACAATTGAACATCTTCCCATTATAATACCAAAAATGGCTAAAACAACAAAATTCATGACCTCTGGTGCTCTTGATGCTTTCATTTGTCGTCATTTCCTAGATATAGCAAGCTCATTCAGTAAAGTGAATCGCAACACTAAGAAAACTTTTTGGTCGAAATTTCCTATTGAAACGATTGAATATATTTGTGCTTTGGATCTGATGATTAATTCAGAATATCAAGTATTCGATGCAATCATGGATTGGGTGCTTTCCGATTCCTATTTGAGAAAGTGTCATCTTGAGAGGTTGTGGAAATTAGTCCGATGGTGTCATTTAAATGATAAAGATTCATCTAATTTAGTAAATCATCTGCGCATATCTGCAGGTTTTGAGGCAAAACTTTGCTCTCCTCGCAAGGCCGATTGTGATTGTGTCTTCAATCGAGCCAAGCAAAATTGTTTCGTCATGATTGAGACATTGGATATTAAAGATCTGCGAGTCAAAGTACTTGACAACAACTTTAAACTACTAGTTAGTCAAGTAATCAAGGAAGATACGTCAATTGCTTCAAATTTTTTCCACGATGAACATGTTTCTGATATTCTTTTCGATTCTGGAAGAAGAGTTATTCGAATAGACTGGAAACAAAATAAATATAATTGGGCTCCACCGCTAGAATCTTATGCTGGATTGCAAAGAAGGATTGCTAGAAGCGTTGAATAGTAAGTTGTGATTTTAATAATCAAAGATTGCAGGATATTTATCAATCTCTTTACAATTAATTTTCATATTTATATTCATAGTATCAACATTCATATTGATATTATAATATTATATTGTATTTTCAAACACTGATGTGGCTTCAGTCAAATTCATTTTTTATTAAACATTAATTTATTGTCTTTTTTGTTTCAGTGGAGGCGAGCTTTACGAGGAATTAGAGCTAGGAGAGGATATTGCAAATGGTTTTTTGCTTTTAGAATCGACTGAAACTTTCGATCTGATTTGCTTTGAAGGAAAACATTTGCATCGTTTTTCAATGCCAATCCACGAAATTTATAAAAGGTTTACAACTCTAAACAATTGCGAAGCAACTCTTTTGAACAATAAGATTTACTTGCTGTCAAACAAAGCTATATTATACGAAGCTCACTATTTCTTATGAAATGCTTAGTCGGACTTGGAGCTATTGCTTATGGGATGATGAATTCAGATTTCAGGATACACTGTTGAGCTCAAGTCCATCTGGTGATAAAATTATTTTGATTAATAAAAACACAAAAGATTACGTTAGTTTCGATGTCAATACTAAAGTGAAGTCCAAAGGTCAAATGGTATCCTATTCCTCTGCTGATGGCCAAAAAGAGTCCAAAACGTTGTTAACTTTCACTTCAGCTTTTCTTCCGTTAAACATCATCAGAACTTGCTTAAACTCCAAATCTGACTCATCAGAGAATTCGCAAGCATGATTCCTTCATGAACTTGAGCTGAATTGGTTTAAAGAATAAGTTATTCCTTTAGACTTGTAAACTAATCATTATTATAATAAAATGGCTTACTTTAATAAATCAACAAAAAACCCATTTGAATTTACTTTTTTCTTGTATTCAAACTAAAATTTAGAAAACATTATGTTAATAAAGTGGATAATTATTTATAATATCGCTTATTTGAGCATTTTAATATTGTCCAAATTATGGTGTTGCATCATGGAAAAGAAAGTTATCTGCTCATTAACAATAGGTTCACAAATGAGTGCAAAATATTACTTTGAAATTGCCTCTAAACCCATACGATCAAAACAGTGCTCAGAAGATGGGCGAAAAGTTATAGCTTTTTTCGATTAATTCTCTTCTTTAAAAATCGTAATCTAATATAAACATTCTATGCTTTAATCGGTTTAATCGATACTTAATCGAGTTGTTCAGAGCTTTAATAAGTCAGTTAAATGCACAAATCAAGATGGCGTTAGAGGCTGAGAAATATCCTGATTGGCTCAAACGGCTGGGCGTCAACTGATTTCATTCTTTAATAAGACTACTTACAGAGTGGCTTTCACTCTGTGAATCACAATTTTGAGCTTGAGATTACAAATCACCTGTTAGAGTCTTTCTGGTAATTGCCTCATCCTTTTGATTATTGAGCCTAAGTTTTAGCATTTTGTTTTTGATTTCTTTGTGTGTCGAATATGGATTCCTTAGAAGCTGATGACCAACTAACGATATTAAATCGTTCGACAGAATACCGTATTAGTAAAAAACTAATTCGTAAAGTGCCTTATTTTGAAAGGATGTTGAGCCATGAATGCTTGGAAACAAAGGAAAACAAAGTTGAACTGGATTTTGATGAACAAGATTTCAAATCATTTTTAAGTTGGATTAAATTAGATAGTGCAATCATTGATATGGATTACGTTATAACTCTTTGTGACATAAGTGATTATTTTGGAATGGATTACGAGGTGCAAAAATTTAATGAATATTTTCGCCAAAAATTTTCAATGGAACATCTTCCAACTATTATACATCAAGTGACTGAAACTTCCATGTTGATCAATTCTCATACTCTTAATGCTTTCATCTGTTGTCATTTCTTGCGAATAAAAAATTCATACGCTGCATCGTATTCGTTTAAGAAATATTTTTGGTTGGAATATCCTGTTGAAACAATTGAGTACATTTGTGCTTTGAATTTGATGATTTATTCAGAATATCAAGTTTTCGAGGCAATCGAAAGATGGGTGAATTTCAATGTTGATTCTAGAAAGTGTCATCTTGAAAGATTGTTAAGATTAGTTCGATGGTGCTATTTGGGAGATAAAGATTTATTTGAAATAAAAGAAAATGAATTGGTCAAATCTTCAGGTTTCCAGCCAAGATCTTGCTTGTCTTTCAAAGATAATTGTGATTGTGTCTCTGACAGAGCTAAGCAGCATTGCCTCATCATTATTGAACAATTGGAGGGCACAGATTTGCGAATTATAGTACTTGACAGCAAATTGGTGCTCTTGTTTAATCGAGATTTAAAATTGGACCGATCAATATCATTGAATCTGCTTCACGATGAACATGTTTCTATTATTTTCTACTATTCTGGAAGGAAAGCAATTCGAGTTGATTGGAATCGAAATGCATATCGTTTCTTCAAGGATACTGATATTGGACCCTATATATCTGGCACCTGCGAATTGAATGTAAATTACTGGTAAGCTATTTATTCTTATGGCAACACTCATTTCAATTTGGAGCATCGTATTTGTGTATTAAACTTCTAAAACAAAGGGACTCACCTCGATTCATTTCTTGGGATTCACTGGCAATCATTTTGGCATTTAGTTCAATAATTTTCACTCTCGAATAACTAATTTCAAATTTTTTTCCACATATTAGGTCAAAATATTGGCGCAGACCTCCTAGCTTCTCGCCTTTCTACAGATACAAAATACGTGACAAAACTGATGCAGGGTTTTTTTATGCCACAGGTCATGAGGAATCTGAGTATTGGTTGAATAGGGTCATGCGAACTGCTGATAAAATCATTAATGATTCTAGACTTCATGATTGGGTTATGTATTTTCGTCTAACTGTGCTGTCCGATAATATCTTTATTCTGACAAATAATCTTGCGTTTGGCAAGTTCAATGTTCGCCAAAAACATTTCAAGAAGATCGAACTTCCGAAACTTAGAGAAACAAATGAATTAGAGTATAAAAGTTTGTTTATTACTTCAAGTAAAGTGCACGCTGACCGAGTTTTTTTGATTGATGCATCAACGAAAAATGTCTTTTGTTTCAATATTACTAATCAAGAATGGAGTTTTTTTGGTGGTTTGTTTATTGATCCTTATCCATCTTCTAATTCTGGCAAAAGTTTTGGTAATTGTCCAATGGAATCTGAAAAGTTGATCACTTTGACCCAAGCTTTTTTACCGTTAGACTTGATCTATACTTAATGAAACCATAACCACTATTGAGTTTATTGACGATTTTTTAACTTGATTAATTAAACTAATAAAAATTTTCAATGTTCATTATGCGCTAACAATACATGTATAATTGTATTACTTAATATTACTTTTTTTCAAAGTGAATACAATTACGATCATTCAGAAAGTGCATGCATCTGAAGATCAACTTGAGATTTGGTTTGCCACCATATCCATCCAATTTTATTCACCACTTTTTTACTGTATTTTCACCGGAAATTCAAGTTTTCAATGTAATCATTAGATGGGTCAATTTCAAGATTAATGCTAGAAAGTGTCATCTCAAAAGATTGTTGTAACTAACCTGATGGTGCCGTTTGAACGAGGATGATTTATCTAAAATAAAAGCAAATCATTTGCTCAAATCTTCAGGTTTTGAGGCAAAACTCTGCTCTCCTCGAAAGGCTGATTGTGATTGTGCCTTCAATCGAGCCAAACAAAATTGTTTCGTCATGATTGAGACATTGGATATTAAAGATCTGCGAGTCAAAGTACTTGACAACAACTTTAAACAACTGATTAGTCAAGTAATCAAAGAAGATACGTCAATTGCTTCAAATTTTTTCCATGATGAACATGTTTCTGATATTCTTTTCGATTCTGGAAGAAGAGTTATTCGAATCGACTGGAAACAAAATAAATATAATTGGGTTGCACCACTAGAATCTTATGCTGGATTGCAAAGAAGGATCGCTAGAAGCATTAAATAGTAAGTAATGATTAATAATCAAAGATTGCAGGATATTTATCAATCTCTTTACAATTAATTTTCATATTTATATTCATAGTAACAACATTAATATTACAACAATATTATTTTCAATCACAGTTATGATTTCAGTCAAATTCATTTTTTATTATCACTAAGTATTTAATTTATTTTCTTTTGTGTTTTAGTGGAGACGAACTTTTCGATGATTCAGAGCTAGAATGCCATTATGGAGATCGATATGGTGGAAGTGCCATTAATTTTTCCATGGATTAACGCACACTTTTAGAAGCTAAAGACAAGCTTATTTTGATAAGTAAAGACAAAAATTCATACATGTATTATTCATAATATTATTAGTCAAAACCAACTAATGTGAGTTTCGACCTTGTTATAGGTTTTATGAACACTTACCGCATAGAAACTGTTTTGGATAAAAAAAATTACATGTTGACAGACGATTTTAAATTTATCGAACTTGAGATTGATGAAATTGATCGCAATTGCAAGTTTGAGATTATTAACTTCTGAGATCCGAGAAGCATTGGGACTTGAATATGCTACATCTAAACATCAAAGCAAGCTAATAATGATCGGGTCATTTTGTTTGATGGATCTGAAAAAAACTTTTACTGTTTCAATGTCAATACTCAACAATGGAGTGCAGTTGGACTAATAATAGAAGCGCAATCCTGCAACTTTTCTGGTGACCAGAATGGAACAAAGCTGACAAGTTTCACCTCAGCTTTCTTATCAGTAAACATCATCACTTAAAACTTAAATGCACTCAATGATTTGGTTTCTGCTGGGATATGCACTCATAGACTGTGAACACTTAATCCTGCTACTCGTGAACTTTCATGAAGAAGCATCTTACCATTTGATTGTGATTCAATTTTCCTTAATCGCTCGAATTAAGCTTTAATTGTTTAAGCTGATTCCGCGAGTTTTTGGATTGATATTTTACGAAAGAAAATTGAATTAAGTTAATTAATAACTAAAAACTAAAGTTCCCAAATCCTCAGACTTCAACTCAGTATGCTAATCACCTGGCAAATGTAATTGAGATTGTGGATTTAATCGAACCAAGCAAAATTATTTCATTATGTTTGAAAAATCGCATATTATTATTGCTCGTAGCATGATACAGATTGGATGGAGAAACACAATTTTTATAATCACAGCATTTGACGATAATTTTCAACATTCAGTTAAACAATGCCTCGAAAAAGAAGAATCAATTATCTGTTTTCCATGTTGAACATATTCCTTCACTTCAAAGGCATTTGATTCGAATTGATTGAAGACGAGGGAAATATCGTTTGCGCAATTAAGCAGATTGTGTATCTTATTTTGACGCATTAATAGCGCCACTACTTAGAAATTTATTGTTACTATCCTTTCTTTTCAAATTTCCCTCTCAATGTAACCAGCAAGTAACTGGTTACTATTATGGTTAATAGTAACCAACTGGTCTCTACTGGCGCGGTATCTAATCTTTGACTTGTAAGTAATCAGCAAAAATCATCTATTCAACTGACTGATTGTTAAATTATTTATATTTTCTTTATTCCAACAATTTGTTCCGATTCAATTTTGTGTCCAACTATGGCTTTATCAGAGACTGATGACCAACTTACAATAGTTAATCGATCATTGGAATATCGAATCAACAAAAAACTGATTCGTAAAGTGCCTTATTTTGAAAAGATGCTGAACCTTGGTTTAAAAGAATCAAAGGAAAACAAAGTCGTATTGGATTTTGAAACAAAGGCATTCAAATCAATCCTCAGTTGGATCGAAATCGGACTTATCCTCATCGAGATGGATTGTGTAATAAATATTTGTATCATAGCTGACTATTTCGGTTTAAGTGATTGTTTGATAGACGATTGCTTTACATATTTCCATGATAATTTTTCAATTGAGTATCTTCCGGTTATTATACCTCAAGTGACTTCAACATCTAAGTTGATCAACTCTGGTACTCTTAATGCTTTCATTTGTCGTTATTTCAACAAAATTGTGAACTCACCTGTTTGGTTGCATTATCCTGTTGAAACAATCCGATATATTTGTGCTTTGGATTTGATGATTCACTCAGAGTATCAAGTTTTCGACGCTATCATGCATTGGGCGAATTTCAAGGCTGATTCTAGAAAGTGCTATCTTAAGGAACTGTTAAAGTTGGTTCGTTTCTGCCATATGGAAGATAAGGATTTATCGAAAATCAAAGAAAATGAATTTTTCAGATCTTCCGGTCTTGAACCAGAATTATGCAAACCTAATTGTAATTGTAATATCGACCGAACTAAGCAAGGTTGTTTTGTCATTATTGTAGAATTGAGTGACAAAAATTTGCGATTTGAAATATTTGACAGTGACTTCAGGCCATTGGTTAATCAAGTAATGCAACCAGATGAATCTATGCCTTTGTTTATTCTTCATAATGAACATGTTTCAGATATATCATTTGATTCTGGAAGGAAAATTATACGTATTGATTGGAAGCAGAATACATATCGTTTGCTTGATTTTTCAGCTTATAGATCGTATCATCACGTAATCCATCGATGCATTTATGAAGCGCAGCAAGCAAGGTGAGTAAACCATTATTTAATTATTATCCGATTGCTTTTTTGTGAAGCTTACCTAAGTTTGAAAATTGAAAACTTTTATTCCTACATTGATGCATATTATTAATATTTCTAATAAGGTTTACCCGTCTGAAGCTCGCGAGAAGCTTCTACTTTTATAATGAATACTTTTAGTAATAGTTTTTAAAAACATTTTTTTACATTTCAGTGCGAATTGTTGTGTGCAGACTGATTACGGTGCAAGTTTAGAATATGAATTTTCATTTCTCGAAGCTAACGAGAAGTGCATTCTTGTTCGTAACGATTCTTGCTATTTCCGCGGTTGGAAGAATCCATCTACTAGATATATTAATTATTTATATGATGATAATAGACATACTTACCTGGCAACTATTTTGGATAATATTATTTATATGTTAAACGGCAGTTTTGAATTTTTCCAGTTCAACATTGACCGTGATCTAGAGTTTAAAAAGATTAAACTTCAAAGCTTTGAAGAAAATTTGAAATTCAGTAATTTAGTTTTAACATCCAAGCAAGCTAATGATGATAGAGTTCTTTTGATTGATAAGACCACAAAAGATGTTCTTTGTTTCAATGTCAGCACTCAACAATGGAAACCAGTCGGTCGAATTATTGATCGTAAAGGCAAATCGACGGATAGTCAAAAGGAATCTAATGTTCTTAAAGCTTTTACCTTTGGATTTTTATCAACGGATTCGATCAACCTTTGCTTGGAACGTATTCTCTACGCTGTAAAATGACGTTCATTTGACATAAACGAGTACACTGAATTGATATTCTTGTTCGATGCCAGCTTCATGTAACCTGATTCAAACGTTAACATTCATTCGATATATTCGAATTGAATCGACCATGCATATGAGCCGTACTTTGATTTCTTTCTTTATGTTTCTATTCATTTCATTAAAGAACTTTGTTCACGACGAATACAACTTCATTATTCAACGTTAGCTGTTTTTAAAAAGCAGTTTGATTGATAAATTCGACCTTGCCCCTCTTGCTTTTGCTGTTTTTGAACTAAATCGTTTGATTAATTCAACCAACACAGAGTTACCATTTTATTAAACACTTATTACCTTTAACATGGTGTCTGGAGGTCCATTTAACTGAAGACATATCAATTAACAATGCAGTACTAGATTAGTTAAAATATTGATGAATTAAAATTGGATTTGGATGATGGATGATGGAAAGCAGGATTCAATTTATCCATAGCCTTGTCTATTGCAATTTTTAATTGATAAGATTAATTAACTGTAGACCAGTCCAGTTGTAGTTTCAACGGATAAAACAATTCCATCGGTTCCCTGTAAACTCGCCACATTTAAGCTTTAAAACAAACAGAGAGTCAAACCCTTTTACAACTTTAAAGAAATCTTGCCACTAATTTTTACAGCTATGGCAAGTAAATTATCAATTTTGATTAAGAAATTCGTGTACAAAGATCAAGCTCAAGCTGAATTGATTCAATTCAATATCATTTTGGTAGCTTTTGTATCGAGAATCGTTATTTAATTGAATGCATTATAGCTTTTTTGTTGAATTTTTTGACTGCTTAGCTTGCAACAGAACTATCCTGTAGGACATTTCTTTCAATGAATCGATAGAAGCACGATAATGTCTCTTTTCGCATTAATACAAAAAGCTACCAAAATGATGGAAAGTCGATTCAAGTTATTCAGAACTCTATTGCAAATCGATACAAGATTTTGTAAACTAATCCCAACGTTTGCTTTAAAACTTTAAAACTAAATGGTTAACACTTGTGGTCCGACTTTTGCAGCTTGTTGATGAGATGATTCAACAAATACTTGGAGTTAAAAAGCTAGTCGTAAGTATTAATTAAAATCAAATTACAAGATTCTTCTGGGATAAACTTATTCTCACTGTAAGGTTAACCCTTCATCAATAACAATCTCTCTGTTTATATTCCTTAACTTGCAAAAACCAAAATGATCAATTGCATTTGTATTACTTTTTAAAGTCAATCAGTAATGGAAATCAAATTACAAGATTCTTCTAGGATAAGCTTCTCACTTACAAGTTGTTAGTTGGGTCAACTCAATTTTAACAACTTTAATATAACTGCATCAGATAAACCAATCATAGTTTTCCGAGGTTGAAAGCCAATAATCAATTTTTAACGATCTCAACCATTTTTGATTCGGGAAAGCCAATCTTTGAGAGATATCATTTAACAAATTATTTTGTTACACAGACCAGAGAATATAGCTGCTGTATTTCCATTATCACATGAGAAAATTTAAAGTTTAAATTCAATTAAAGGTTGGAGGGGGAGGATGACAGAAAGAATAGGAAATATCTTTTAATGGCATAAAATAGTTCTGTATGGTTCGATCAATACTGCAATTATAAGCAGATTTGTCGCAACATAATTTTAGTTCAAAGTCTCAAGATTAAACGTATTTATTTTCCTTTTATTAGCCAAATCTATATCTTTCATCGAATAGACTTTAACAATTCTTTAAGATATTAATACTTTCTAGAATCAGACTATGATTTGACCCATTTCATGATTGCATCGGAAACTTGCACTTCTGAATAAATCATGAGACCCATATATTCAATGGTCTCAATAGGATAATCCAACCAAGCAGTTGCGTTCGCTATTTTCGTTAAGTAGCGGTTAGAAACTAGTGTTGATCGAATGTATCGATATTTTCTGGTTTTACTGACCATCGATGTTGATTCTACCGTTTTTTCGTCTAATCTTCTAGATGTTATTATAAATACGAATTTTGTGATTTCAATCGAATAATTCCTAACTTGAGTGAATTTCAGTGGTTCAGATAAATAGTCAAAAAATTAAACTTGAAGGTGGACAATCATATTGGTTGAAAAATTCGTATTCAGCTAATTAAACAAATGATATCCAGTTATATTAGATATTGAACCGTTTGTTTTTCATGTTTCCGTGTTTCTTTGTTAGTTTTTGTTTCCTAATCGATATTTTAATAGAATTTTCGATTATAATCGATTACTTAATTGTAAAATAATCGCCCACCTCTAATTAAGCTGGCGTAAAATAAAAGCTTTCACTGATTGGCTCGAATGGCTGACTCAGGTTTCATCAAATTCTGAGTTTGCATTGAATGATTAAGTTTTGTTAGTGTACCATTGCCAACCTCGAACTAAACTTGTCTCTAAGTTTCTTAAACGCTTTCTATAGCTATATTTTGATGCTTCACTTGATAAATGTGAATTTAAAAAATCATCTTTTAAACTAGTTCTTTGGTTAAATCTGACTAATTGGCACGTGTTATTTAAAAATTTCATTTTTTCAATTAATTGTTCAACTATGGATTCATTAGATACTGATGACCAACTTACAATAGTGAATCGATCCACCGAACACCGCATCAGTAAAAATTTAATTCGTAGAATACCTTATTTCGAAAAGATGTTAAGCCATGAATGTTTGGAATCAAAGGAAAACAAAGTTGAACTGGATTTTGATGAAAAGGCTTTTAAGTGGCTTCTCAATTGGATTGAATTCGGTGATATCCTCATCGAGATGGATTATATGATAAATCTGTGCAACGTGGCTGACTATTTCGGGATAAAAGATCATTTAATGCAAGATTGTTCTCGTTATTTTTTTGCAAATTTTTCTAGCGAACATCTTCCTGTTGTTATACCTCAAGTCACTTCTACATCTAAATCGTTAAATTCTGGTGCTATCAATTCTTTCATCTGTCGCCATTTCTTCAAAATCGTCAACACAACTTATTGGTGTGAATACCCTTTTGAAACAATTGAGTACATTTGTGCTTTGGATTTGATGGTTCATTCAGAGTACCAAGTTTTCAAAGCAATCCAAAAATGGGTCAAATTCAAGGTTAGCTCAAGAAAGTATCATCTTAAAGGGTTGTTAAAGTTTGTCCGTTGGTGTCATTTGAAAGATAAGGATTTATCGAAAATAAAAGAAAATGTATTAATTAAATCGCACGTCGTTGCACCTGAAATATGCTCTACTGAGAAAACTAATTGTAAATGCAGTATCGACCGAACTAAACAAGGTTGTTTTGTCACAATTGAAGAATTGGTTAACAAAAATTTGCGAGTCAAAGTACTTGATGATTTGTTGCCATTGATTAACCAAGTTATTCAATCAGATGAATCAATGCCTTTGCATCTTTTACATGGTAAACATGTTTCTGATATTTCATTTGATTCTGGAAGGAAAATGATTCGAATTGATTGCAAGCAGAATAATTATCGTTTGTTTGATCATTCAGCTTCTAAATCACATTGTCTTAAAATGATAAGATGTATTTCTGAAGAGCAACAAAGGTGAGTAATCGATTTTTTAGATTAGCTTATTTGCCTTTCTGAATTACCCATTTGCTTGCATTCTTGTGGATACATTGCAATGGAGAAACTAAAAAAATATGAATAAGTACCTTACATGTATCTATTGGTGCATATCGTTTCTAGTATGAGTTACTGTCTGTAACTAACGAGAAGCTTCTTTTACTTTTTAACATTGAAAACTAATATTTATTTAAATTTTTGTTTACATTTCAGTGAGAATCGTTTTGTGTCGACAAAGACTCAATTATATTTTGTAGATAGAAATCATACTTATGAAGGTTCACTTCTCGATGCTAACGAAAAGTTTATTCTTGTTCGTAACGAGCTACACCAGTTGGGAGAATCCATCTTTTTCAGATATTAATTCTCAATTCAAATGGACATACTTACCTGGCAACTATTTTGGATAAAAAAAATTTATATGCTGACAGATAAACTCGAGTTTTTCCAGTTCGACATTGATCGTAATCTCGTGTTTAAAGGTTTAAAGAAAAATTGGAATTTAATAAGCTACTTTTAACATCCAAGCAAGCTAATGATGATAGAGTTATTTTGATTGATAAGATCACAAAAGATGTTTTCTGTTTCAATGCCAGCACTGAGAGATGGAAATCAATCGGTCGAATCATTGATTGTAAAAGCAAATCTGCCGAATACCAAAAGGAATCTTGTGCCCTTAAAACTTTTACTTTTGGATTTGTATCAATGGACTCGATCAACTTTTGCTTGAAACGTAAATTCATATAATAAAGTAAAGCATTTTGCGACTTAAGTGATTTTTGACTTATTGGGTCTCTTGGATCTATAATATTATATTTTTCAACTCTAATGGTCTGACTTACAAATAACAAGATTATTTCCTAACATTGTGAGTACATTTTTCATGTAAATTATGAATACTTATGAGGTAAATTATCATTCATATATCCATAACCTTTTTTAATTTTTCATCGAAAAGATTGATTTTTTAGATTTAATGCAGACTAGGGCAGCTAAAGACTCAATGTTATAACAATGCTATAGCGAAAGTGCATTTTTATCCAAAAGTTTATTTAAGTCATCTCTTTGATCTATTGAAAATTGATGTAAAACTATTCCCAACGTTTTCTTTCTCACTTTGTAATGTTAACCCTTCACCATTAACAATTCATCTTCTGATCACACTCCTTAACTTACCACTAAAATGATCAATTCAATTTGTATTAATTAAGTCAATTAGTAATGGAAATCAAATTACAAGATTTTTCTAGGATAAGCTTCTCGCAAATTGATTCAAGTCAATTTAAATAGTCTAACAAGTTGATGTAATGTATCAGATGACTTAATGATATTTTTAAGCCAATTATCAATAGTTGTCCAGGCCATTTTAATTAGCACATCAATTATCTTGAGAAGATATCATTCAACGAATTATTCTGTTATTCAGTCCAGAGAATCAAGTTGCTGTGAGTTTTCATTATCTTATCTTAATTAAAAATTTAAAGTTTAAATTCAATTAGAGGCTAAAGGCTAAAAAGGAGAATATTAGGAAGAATAGACGAAATGGCCTAATCTCAGAATGGTTCAAACTAACATTTTCTGGTTCACACAATCCAAACAGTTGTCTGCGCGCATAACGTTGAAGGGGAAAAAGTCAATCGCCAGAAACTTTCCGGTCACTCCTTATGCTGATACAAACAGATGACCAATTTAAAGCCTGGTTTTCTCTGACGATTTTTATATTTTTAAGTTTGCTGCTCAACCCATAACGACACTATCTGAGCCACTCAAGCTTATTAATACAAATAACCTGTTCATCATAAATCATAAAAAATCATAAAAATCTTAAAGTTGTTTCTCAAGAAAATTTGTTTTTGATTTAATTTTGTGTCCAATATGGATTTTATGGAGACTGATGACCAGCTTACAATAGTTAATCGATCGAAAGAACATGTAATTAGTAAACAACTAATTCGCAACGTACCTTATTTTGAGAAGATGTTGAGCCTGGATTTGAAGGAATCAAAGGAAAACGAAGTCGTGTTGGATTTTGATGAAAAGACTTTAAAATCGTTTCTCAATTGGCTTGAATTGGGTGATATATTCATCGAGATGGATTATGTAATACATCTGTACAACATGCTGGACTATTTCGGGATAAAAGATGATTTGCTGCAAGATTGTATCAACTATTTCAATGATAATTTTATAATTGAACATCTTCCTATTGTTATACCTCAAGTGACTCCAGTATCTAAATTGATAAATTCGAGTCACCTCAATGCTTTCATCTGTCGTTATTTCTTGAAGATAGCCGACACATGTGTTTTTTCAAGTTATCCTGTTGAAACAATAGAGTACATTTGTGCTTTGGATCTGATGATTGATTCAGAAATTCAAGTTTTCGACGCGATCATGAGGTGGGGAAATTGCCACGCTGATTCGGCAAAGTACCATCTTGAAAAATTGTTAACGTTAGTTCGATGGTGCTATTTTAAAGATAAAGATTTATCCAAAATAGAGGAGAAGACCCAATCTTTAAGTTTCCATCCTTCAAAATTATGCTCTTCTAAAAAATGTGATTGCGATCTCACCGGCAACCGAACCAAGCAAGAGCATTTCATTGGGATTTACAAAATGAATGCTACAAGCTTGCGAATCATAGTAAATGACAATAATTTTTATCCATTGATGGAAAAAGTCATCAAATTAAACAATAGTATGACTATTGACGTTTTTCCTGATGAACATGTTTCTGATATCTTTTTGGATTCTGGTAATCAAACAATTCGAATTGATTGGAAACGCAATGAATATCGTTTGCTGGATGAATCACAATGCAAAACATATTGCATTAAAATTCTTAATTGCATTCAAGAGAGCAATTGGTAAGTAATTGTTTTAAAATCTCATGTTTCACACCATTTGATTGTCATATGCAATTATCTCATCTTTGAAACATTTGTCTTATTTTTATTACTACCGAGTCATTTTTGAGATTCAGCTACTTATAACTTTCACTAATGTTTATCTTTCTCCATCTTGTTTAACTGACATTTCAGTATAGCCCTTGGATTTGTTCTTCCGGATGAGAAATGTCTATATAAATTTCGTTGCTATGGCCTTTGCCTTTTCGAAGCTAGTGAAAAGTTTGTGTTGATTTGTGATGATTTTTCATCTGTTGAAAGCTCGCCAGCAAGAGCTGAACTGGTTGCGAAATATTTTCAAACGGATGGAGTGAACGATTTCCGCGCAACTATTTTAGACGATAATATTTACTTACTGTCAGAATCCGATTTCATAAATTTGAATATTGATACAAACAAGAAATCAGTTATCGGACTTGAATGGTTTAACAATAGACTGCGCTTCGAGAATTGTCTTTTAACTTCTAGAAAAGCTAATGATGATAGAGTTATCTTGATTGATAAGTCCACAAAGGATGCCTTTTCTTTCAACGTCAACACTTCGCAATGGAGTTCAATGGGTCGATTCGGCAATTGTAACCGTAAATTTCCTGATGTCCAAGATTCAACTAATAAGCTGTTGACTTTAACCTCGGCTTTCATATCTTTGGATACTATGAGGACTTGCTTTGCCCATAATGCGAATTCGAAGAAATAACAATGTTTTACATAATTATTTATACTAAGAGTACAAAAAACTCATTGGAATGTTTCAAATGATTCTAAACTTTCTTTTTCATTTCACTTCTTAAAGCTAAACTTTTTGTTTCAGCTACAATAAGATTAATTAGAACGGAATTATCTTGTTAGAAACTATTTCTTCGTTCAACATTTTCCTCGATTAAAGTGAAATTAAGAATAAATATTATTTTAATTCATTGTATTATTTACCGACCTCCTATTAAAGCAATTCAATTCAATTTCGACTTTTCTGGTTCAACTGGAACAATCTTTGCATTGAGTTTACAGCCTCATACTTTTTAGTGTGTAGAATATTAATAAATTATTAATTATTGATGGTCTATGGTCGTGGTGGGGAAATATTCCACTCTACCGCCTGTTAGTAATTTAGAGTCGATTGAAATAGCTTATTTAAACTATTCATCAAGCAGCATATTTCATGATTTTCAATCTTCCTTAATCGAGCAAATTTGGACTATTGAAAATTTAGTTTAACTGGCAGGTTTCGGTGCATGTATAATAGGGAGATAAGCATTGGCCAATACAGTAGAAAGTCTCCATATCGATATCTAGAAATATGATATTCCTGGCAGTTCACATCTTGAAGCTGATGATTAGTTTATTTTGATTTGCACTGCAGGAAAGTGTATTGATATATCTGGCGAATGATATTGATGAAATTGAAGCTCATTTCAAGAGCTATGAGAATGATTTTCACGCAACTGTATTGGACAATAATATTTACATGCTAACAGATGAGCTTGAGTTCATATATTGCAACATTTACATTATTAACATGAGTATCAGAATGAGTCTGTTTAGAAACAAAATGGACTTTGAAAATTTACTTCTCACTTCCAAGCGATTGATAATGATAATGATAATAGGGGTATTTTTTTGATAAGTCTACAAGAGTTCGAGTCTCTGTTTCAAGTTCATGTTCCATATTTACTAGAACTGTAAATCGATTGTGACTCAGTCAATGTGCACTTCAGTTCGATATCTATTCACAGTAAATGAAACTTCTCAAGATGTGATAGTGGATAAAGAACAAATAAGATGCTGTCAATGGGCCGATTGCTTGACGCAAATCACTTGCTTTGCATAACTTATAAGCGTACTAACTAGTTAATGCGTTCGATAATCAAACTGTTGGTAATGGTTAGTTTACCAATTGTCTCAATGTTCAATGATATCAATTTATAAATTTACAACATTTTTTGAAAAAGTATCTTATAATTAGCAGAATCAGAAAATCGATGACAGTTTTTTTGTTCCTCACAGCTTTGATCACCTTTCTTACTTCGAAGAGTGAAAATAGAATGACGAAAAGTCTTAATATTAATTTTCTTTGTCGAAAGAGGTTTTTTCATCAATCATTACGATCATTAAGCTCTGAAAAATTATTGTTGGGAAAAGTATTGATTGCTTATTATGAAATTTTAACTATCAATTAGTTTTCCAATATTGATTTCAATGTTTCTATTTCTATTCAATCATTATTTTACCCAACACATATTATTACCAATTAAACTATTATACTTATTATACTTATCATGTCGTCAATTGTGTTTACTACAAATTGAATTTAATGCTTTTCGGTGTTTAATAATTTTAATGTAACATTGGAAGTTAAAATTGAAACTCTTCGGAATGAGACACAAAAAGCAACATTAATGATGAATGAGCGTTAATAGATGCTGAATAAATGCTGATTCTATTAATATAATTATGTTCATTGCAAAAAAACTTCTTTCATCAAGTTGCTTAACTGGAATCTACAGAAAATAATCTCAGATTGTTCAATGATTTCTTAGTGAAAATTCAATAACATGGAAAGGAGAACAATATTCGCAACTTCAATTCGAACCTTTTGTCTTGTGATATTCATTTTTCAATTTTATTTGTTAACACGTAATTATCTTCGATTCGATGTTCGTAAAGAAGTGATAAATTATATTGCAAATGAAATTGAAATTCCAGAAGTTCGATTATTGATTCCATATCAATTTGCGTTTGATCTCAACTTTTTACGAACAAAATATAAGTCTAGTTTTGATGCCATTTGTCGTAAGTTTTCTGATAAGGACGATTGTGATGGTTATTTAACGAATTCTGTTTTATTTTCCAAATCATTCGGTCACTTATTGCCATTGTCTGACATTGCCGAGCACTCGTTTCCTGTTAAAAGGTTCATAAATAAAATTTATTGGTCTGAATCTTCAGAAGATCCTTTAGAGACTGGAAAATGTAAGATAACTAAAAAGGCTTCAGCTTCATACCTGGTACTCGAGCTTCGTTGTTTGGACTCTTCTGGTTCACCACTAAGAGTATCTCGGTCTAAAGCCGTTGTGTTTAATTCAAACTATTTATTAGATTTTAGTTTGAACGCTACAGTAATGTTAATGAAGTTGGCTTATCCAGGAAAAGCATTGGTTGAGGATAGCAGTCTACATGCTTATACTATTACTAATAAGGGGAAGCTAACATCGTGTGGAGTTCGTTTCACGAAACACACTGAAAACTTATTGCCTCCTCCGTACAAAACAATGTGTAAAAACTATGATCGACGTCAAGTGTTTGAAGAATGTCTTAATAACAACTCTCTTACTCGAACGGGATTACTTTCCTTTGCAACTGCAGTGCCTTTAGATAAGCACACAAAGTTGTATTTCAACTCTCCTTATCTCAATCAAAACAGCTCAGCCCTTGAAATTTACGAGGATTGTTTAGCACTGGTGAATCAACCAAGGTGTAACTCAGTTCGATACTCATTCAAAATGACTACAAATCTTCAGGATACTGCAAGTGGCAATGAACAAATAAAAATCCATTTTATGGCTACATCTGAACCCGATTCTTTAACTGAGAGTAAACCTGATTTTCCCCTGTTTGATTATCTCATTCTAACTGGCAGTTTATTTGCTACTTGGTTTGGTATCAGCATAATGGGACAACTGCTTTCTGTTAGCCAATTGCTCTGCTTAACCTTTGACAAAAGAAGGGCTGTTGACGTTGAGAGTCTGAATAATGAACCAGTTACTCGCACGAAAGGCTGGTCATGACGGATTTTAAATTTCTTCTAGCTGATCAGGTTAAAGTCAATCTTTTAACTTCCACACAAGACGAAGTAATTATACAAGACAAGTTCTCAAAAGCTATCTATTTTTACAATGTTAAAACTGAAAATGGAGTTCAATGGGTCAGAACGAACGAATCAGTAATTGTGAAAACAGATCTGCTTATGTTCAAAGAATATCTGATAAGTTTATAACTTATAATAGATAAGGAATTCAGATTTGACAATAAACTGTTAACTTCGAGTCTCGCTGGTGACAAAATTATCCTGATTAATAAATACACAAGAAATTTTTTTAGTTTAGACGTTAATACTAAAGTAAAGTCCAAGGGTCAAATGGTATCCTATTCCTCTTCTGATGGCCAAAAGAAGTCCAAAATGCTGTTAACTTTGACTTCAGCTTTTGTTCCGTTAAACATCATAAGAAGTTGCTTAAATTCCAAACCTAACGCAGACAATTTGTTTGCTAGCAGTAAATGAATCCTTCATGAACTTACTTGAGCTCTGATCTTACTCCAAGAATAATTAAGCTCTTATTTCTTTAAAGCTGTAAACTAATTAAAGTGACTTACTCTAATTACTTTAATTCAACACAAAACCATTTGAATTTACCTTTTCTCTTGTATTCAAACTAAAATTTTAAAATATATATTAATAAAATGAATAATTATTATATTTATCAAGTCGCTTATTCGAACATGATAATTTTGTCCAAATGATGGCGCGTTCCATCATTCATTCGTGTCCTATTCTAGTTAATATAATAATTTAGTCTTTGTAGTTACATTGTTTTCAATAATTTTATTTGATTTTGAGTTCGTTTTTTGAAAATATTCTGATCATTTCTAAGTCTTGTGGAAATTGTTAATAACCTTTAGCCATTCCCATCGTATGATCTTTATTGTTTATCACCAGTAGTTGAAAATTCAGGATCTGCCTTTTGTTCATATTTTATAACTTCAACAGAATAAATAAGCTATCACTTAAATGCCAAAATATAACGAGAATTATGTTGCACGATTCTTTTAGTGTAAGATAATAATTGAGGATTTAAGTTACAATTTTCAGTTTAATTAAATGTATTGAGTTTTAATTTCCAACCAATCAGTGATTTTTGACTGTGGACTTTTTCCAAATTAGTTATTTGTCAATAGATACCGACTGAGAAAAAATTGCTTTAACTGAAATCTTGAGTGTTATTTGAGCAAGGAAACAACTAGTGACTTAAAGTTAGAAAGGATAACAAAAATCATTTGAGTACTTTGAGTTATGACAAAAGGTTTGACTGTTTGTGATTATTTTTCAATGTGATATCCAATAGCATTACAAATCATTCTACATCTTTTAGGCCATGATTCCATTTCTTGACGTACTTTGTATTTACAAGGAAAGACCTTGATGTCTTGATTCATGACATTTTTTGAGCTCGAACAAGTTCGTGAAAAAGATCGATTAATGTTCATCAGACGAAACTTTTGCTATGCTTTAAACGATTTAATCGATTCTAGATCGATAGTTTTACAGCTTTCCTCTCGGCTCCACCTCAGTTTTTAACCATTTAGTATTAACTACTATACAGGTTGAATGTGCAAATCTTACACAGATTCAATCATCTAAAGATTTTATAAAGTTTAACCTACCCTATTCAAATCCTCTGTGAAACCTTGCTACTTTTACGCGACGGTTTAACTTTTTTTATGTTTCTTGTTTATCCTTAAAGCTGATTGGCCTCAAAAAGAGCCACATTTACCCTGAATCTTTCAAATAAGATTGTGCTGAATTTTAACTGTATTTTGTAACTGACTATCTCAATTAAGGATTGTGCATCAAGTATGGATTTAACAGAAACTGATGACCAAATAACAATAGTGAATCGATCAAAGGAACATCGAATCAGTAAAAAGCTAATTCTTGAAATACCTTATTTTAAAAAGATTTTACGCTATGGTTCAAGAGGTCAAAGGAAAAAAAGGTTGAACTGGATTTTGATGAACAAACATTTGAAACATTTCTGGATTGGCTTGAACTCGGTTATATCTTCATCGAGATGAAAAACGTGATAAATATGTTGTGTATGCTTAAAAATTTTGAAATTTTATACCTAAACAAATTTGAACTTTACTCTAAAACTTATTTTCATAATAATTTTAAAACTGAACATCTTCCAATTGTTTTACCTCAAGTGACTTCAACATCTAAACTGATCAATTCTGGTGCTTTAAATGCCTTCTTATGTCGCCATTTCTCAAAAATAGCAAACACAACTGTTTGGTTGGATTATCCTGTTGAAATAATCAAATACATTTGTAACTTGGAAGTGATGATTCATTCTGACAATATCAAGTATTCGAGACAATCATGAAATGGGTCAATTTCAAGGCTGATAGAAAGTGTCACCTTGAAAGATTGCTAAATTCAGTCCGATGGTGCCATTTGGAAGCTACAGATTTGACTTTAACTGAGGAAAATGAATTTGTTAAGTCTTCAGGCTTCAAACCAATAATTTGCTCCTCAAGAAATCTCAATTGTGATTGTGGCCGCAACCGAACTGATCAAAATTATTTCATCATGATTGAGAAATTGGGTGATGAAGTCTTGCGAATAAAAGTATTTGACAGTAAGCTTCAGCTATTGTTCACTCGCATAATGAAACCTGATTCATTGCCTTCATTTATTTTGCCCGACAAGCATATTACTGATATATTTTTTCATTTCGGAGAGATTATTCGAGTTGATTGGTATCGGAATAGATACAAATTCCTTTCACAGTATTCTTATGCTGAAAAAACTTTCAAGTGTATTTATGAAAAGGACGGGTGGGTAATTTATTATATAGTATTTAATATTTAGATGATTTCCTGAAGGCACCTGTTTGAATTAACACATAATTAGCCCGTTTATTTCAAAACGGGTTATTTTTTGATTCATTAAAAGACATGAAATCAATCAAAATTGCTGCTGCTTATTCAATATTAATAATTTCAAAAATTGTTTCCAATTAGGCATAAAATGGAAAATTATTGCGATTGGAATGGATTCCTTGAAGCCAATGAAAGATGTATTTTGATTAATTTAAGTTCGCAATCGGTGCGGTATTGGCCTAAACACACTGCCCAAGATACTAAAATTTTTTCCGATAAATGGCATCAAGCTTTCCTCGCAACCGTTCTGGATAATAATATTTACCTGTTGACTAAAAACCTTGAATTTATCCAGTTTGAGTTCTATTTTCAAAAATGGTTGGTTCTAGATACACATATCGATAGATCGACATATAGATACGGAGAAACCTCTGACCATTTCATTCTTACCTCCAAACAATCTAATGATGATAAAGTTATTTTAATTGATACGAATGAAAGAGATGCTCGATGTTTTAACGTCAATTCTAAAGAATGGAGTTCAATTAATCATATAATTTATCCTAGATTTTACTCTAATGCTGGAATAAAGGAATTTAGTGAACTTTTCACTTTCACCTCAGGATTTCTATCGATGGACATTATAAGACTTTGTACGCCTCATTAAGACCAAGGTACATGTTGTATCTTTTAAGTCACTTAATCATGGAAGCACTGGACTCATTCAATATTACATATACAAGTTTTAAATTTTTACTAAATTTTTTCTCCATTTTACTATGTATCTTTTAATTTAAATAAAAACGATTCATTTATTAAAGTTTGAGATGGCCTTAACGCTATCAGAACCTTAGACTTTCATAAGTTCGTATTCTCAAGTTTAGTTTAGTTAAAGCTAAACGCAAAAAATGCAAGATATTCATACACAGTGCATAAAGTTATTATGTTTTTTGGCATCCGTCATTAGTGCAAAAATTTAAGAAAGCTCATTTGAATTAAAAATTACATTTTAATTTTATTTATAAGAGGTCTCAGTACATTCATTTCAATGGTGCAACGGTCAATAATTTAAAAATTAAAGAAAAGGAAAAATAATAAAACTGAATGGAGATTGCGCATTCACTTGTTGTCTAGTTTCAACTCCCTACCTTCTTACTTATTCAATAAAATTTCCGGTAAGGTCCTAGGATTGGTAACACTGGCGTGGCTTCACAAGACTTTTAAATTTTTATCCAATGGAATTGACTCCGAGTTTCTTGGTGAGTTGAAGTTTTATTGACACTTTTAAATTAACTAATATTAAATTATAGTTGATTATGGACAGTCCTAATAAAGGGGATATTCATAATAAAGGAAAACACAATTTAGATTGAAAAAGGTTATGGAAATGAAGGTGACAAAGTGATGACTGATTACTTTATAATATCCTGGTTTTTCTGGTAGAAGACTATGGCATATTGGCGGGTCAATCATTATTTTTGCAAGTGATTAAAGCATGGCTGACTCTAATTTCTTCGCCGATCTAACTATTTTTCATATCGATCTAACTAGCATAATCAACTATTATTAAATATTAATGAATTTAAGAGTGTCAATAAAACTTCAACTCACCAAGAAACTCGGAGTCAATTCCATTGGATAAAAATTTAAAAGTCTTGTGAAGCCACGCCAGTGTTACCAATCCTAGGACCTTACCAAATTTCCAATTAGTTTAGTTTGAATTTAAATTATTATCTTATGTATTGTTGGTGTCTTTCAGACAGGATAGAGTAACTGACTCTTTGGAGCTTACCTGTTAACTTTAATTTCAAGTTGTTAGATACTTCAAACTATTCATATTATAAGTTTTTTGTTTTTGAATCTCTATTTGTGCTCAACTATGGATACATTGGAAGCTGAAGACCAACTGACAATTGTGAATAGATCAGTGGAATATCGTATTAGTAAAAAGTTACTTCGTAAAATACCTTATTTTCAAATGATGTTGAGCCATGATTTGCAGGAATCAAGAGAAAGCAAAGTTGAACTGGATTTTGATGAAAAGGCTATAAAATCGATGTTTGATGGAATAGAAATCGGTTGCAGTTTCATTGAAATGGATAATGCAATAGCGCTGTACGACATTCTCGATTATTTTGGACTCGCTGATTCTTTTTTAGCTGCTTGTAAAGATCACTTTCCTGATAATTTTACAATTGAACATCTTCCCGTTGTTATACCTCAAGTGACATCAACAACTAAATTGATCAATTCAAGATCTCTCAATGGTTTCATCTGTCGCTATTTTACGAAGATAGCAAACGCAAATGTATGGTTAAATTATCCTCTTGAAACAATCGAGTACATTTGCAAGCTTGACTTAATGGTTGATTCAGAAATGCAAGTCTTTGAAGCAATCATGAGATGGGTCACGTTCGAGTGTGATTCTAGAAAGAAATGTGTCGAAGTATTGTTAAAGTTGGTCAGATGGTGCCATTTAAAGGATGAAGATCTATCTAAATCAATGGAAAATGAATTGGTTAAATCTTTGGAATTTAATCCAAAGTTTTGTTCAAATGACAAAGGCAATTGTGATTGTAATACAAATCGGACTGAACAAGAATATTTTGTTATGATTGAAGAATGGCATAAATCTAATGATATTCGTATCATAGTACTTGCGAATGATTTACAACCGTTGTTTAATCGAATACTCAAATTGGATCAATCGCTGCCAGAACACATTATGCATGATGAACATATTTCTGATATAATATTTTTGGTACAATATTCGCTGTATGATTCTGAACAGAAAATTATTCGAATTGATTGGAAGCATAATAAATATCGCTGGCTTTATTTCTCGCCCTATTCTTATAAACTTGTTAAATGTATTTCAACAGATTCGACTAAGTAAGTAATTAATCTTCTAAATTTCATTGTATTGTTAATCTCAATCTTGATACTCAAATGATCAACTCGACATAACTTGATTACAGCAACCTTTATTATAACAGTCATATCTGTTTTGCTCATTCAGAGTATCAATTTTGATAACGTGTTTCTTTTTCAACCTTGCTAATAATTCTCAAAACATTGTTCTTTTACATTTCAGTGGAGAAAACTTCAAGGTGAACGTGCGATTCAATCAAAGCTATAGATATAGACATGCACTTCTAGAAGCTAAAGACAAGTTTATTTTGATCAACAAAGACGAAGATTATTTCTATTATCGGTCCAAACCAACTGCTGAACAAGTTAGTGTTTTTGATCTTATGTCATATTTTTACGCTATTCACAAAGAAACTGTTTTGGATAACAAAATTTACATGTTAACAGATTCTAAATTTATCGAACTTGACATTGAGGAAATTGATCGCAAGCGCAAGTTTAAGATGATTGAGCTTCCGACATTCAAGAAGTATTGGAACTTGAAAAAATTACATTTAATTTCAAAGCAAGCTAATGATGATCGTGTCATTTTGTTTGATGGATCTGAAAAAAATTTCTATTGTTTCAATGTCAACACTCGACAATGGAGCTCAATTGGACAAATAATAAACTACAACTTTCTTGGTGAGCGGAAGAAAACAAAGCTGATAAGTTTAACCTCAGCTTTCATATCAGTCGACTTCATCGAATTTGCTTGAATGTAAATAAAACTCGATAATTTAGTTCTTTTGGGAATCATTCAAGAATCTTTTAATCATTCTGAAACTAGAAACATTCATTTCACTCAATCCTGTTGTCTTTTGAACTTACATGATGAAGATTCAACAAGTAAACAATGCTATAGCGAAGGTCCATTTCTACCAAAATTTATTCAATTTATCTCTAAGATCTATTGAAAATTGAGAAAAACTATTCCCAACGTTAGCTTTCTCCTGAGTATGGTTAACCCTTCATCATTAACTATCCATCTTCTGTTCACATTCCTTAACTTACTAATAACATTTGTTAATTACATTTGAATACTTAAGAAAAGGAAATCAAATTAAAAGATTCTTCTAGGATAACTACATCAGATGCACTAATGTTCGTTTTACGAGCTTGAAAGTCAATTATCATTTTTAATTAAGGCAACAATTATCTTGAGGTGAGAAATCATTTTACTTAAATATTCTGTTACACAGTCCAGAGAATCAAATAGTTAAGAGTTTTCACAAGTTTAAAATGAAAGGCCAAAGTCTAAAAAGGGAGATAGCAGAAAGAATAGACAATCTCAGAATTTGTTAAAGCTAACTTTAGCTGAAATACAGGGTGATCGGAAAGTTTCTGGTGTGTGCGGTTGAACTTTATCTGCGTAAAAAAAGGGCAGTGTTAAACAACAACTCGAACAGTGTCTCTGACGACACAGCTTGTGAGCATAGAAGGAACTTTCCGATCACTCCGTATGCTGATACAAACAGATTTAAAATCTTTTTTCCTCAGACGAATGATTTATAAGTTTGCTGTTTAACCCATGAAGACTGTCAGATGAATCTCAGAGTCCTTTATGCTTATGTTTTTATTATATTAATATATAATAAATAATCTGTTGATCATTTAAAAATCCTAAGTTTACTTTCAAGTTTGATACATGATACAAGTTTGTATTTTGTTTTGAATTTAATTTTGTGGCCACATATGTATTCACTAGAGAGCATTGCCCAACTTACTATAGTTAATCGATTGAAGGAACATAAAATTAGTGTAAAACTAATTCGATAAATCTGTACAACATGCTAGACTATTTCGGGGTAAACGATCAATTGATACAAGATTGTGCCAATTTTTCAATGACAATTTTTCAATTGAACGTCTTCCCGTTGTTACCCCAGTATCTAAATTGATGAACTCGAGTCATCTTAATACTCTTAATACTTTATCTGTCGCTATTCTTGAAGATAGTTAACACTTCTGTCTCGTTATATTATCCTATCGAAACTATTGAATATATTTGTGCTTTGGATCTGATTTATTCACTCAAAATTCCAATTGTATGATGCAATTATCAAATGGGTGGATTGCAAGAGCGTTTTTCGACGTACACCTCGCGACTTACAACATTGTTAAAATTAAGACGGTGGTGCCATTTTAAAGATAAAGATTTATCCAAAGTAAAGCAGCGGATAAAATCTTCACATTTTCAGAATTATGCTCTTCTTAAAAATGTGATTGCTGCAACCGAACCAAGCAAGAGTATTTCATTGAGATTTGCCAATTGAATGCCACAAGTTTGCGAATCATAATATCTGTTAATGATTTTTATCCATTGATAGAGAAAGTCATCAAATTAACTGTAGTATGGCTATTGACGTTTTGCATGATGAACATGTTTATGATATCCTTTTCGATTCGGGTAAGGAAGGATTCCAATTGATTGGAAACGCGATGAATATGTATATTATGAGCATATTATGAATACAAAACTTATTGCATTAAACTATTTAGATTTGTTATCTTTTCATCATTCACTTATCGAAGAAAAAAGTAAATATTACATCTTACAATGTTAGTACTAATGATACATATACGAAGTATGAGTTTGTCGTCTTGATTATAAATAGTTTGCTTATTGCTTGTGTCAGTTGTTTCTCCATTGCCAAAAGTAAAACAGTACTTTCAACACTACCTTAACTCAATTTTAGTTTGTAGATTCTTTGGGCCTTTTTCAACAAGTAAATGATGAACCATCTTCAATAGGTCAAAACAAAAGTAACAGATAATCAAACCAATCAGTGCGGAAGCATTAAATCGCAGTCAGCTCTTGTCATCGATACACAGTTAGTATGAATAGTACTCACAGATCAAAGAGTTCACGCATTTAAAATCATTCAAATCAAATTTCTACAATAACATGAGTAAAACTTGACCGAAGATATTACTTTGATCGATTTATGTTCATCTGACGAAACTTTTGCAAAAATCGAAATCGGATCTACTCATAATATCAGCGTATACTATGTTACAATCGATTTAATCAATTCTATGAGAATCATTCTGGATCGAATAATTTACAGTTTCCCTCTCGGCTCCACCTCGATGAATAAATGATACTGGCTCAATGTGAACATCTTACACAGATTAAGGATTTATACAGTATCTAAAGATTCTATAAATTACAACCTACTCTATTCAAATCCTCTGTGAAACCTTGTTATTTTATGAAAACAGATTCACTTTTTTCACAGTTGTCTATCTTTAAAGATAATTGAACTCTGCAAGAGCCACATTTACCCTGAATCTTTCAAATAAGATTGTGCTGAATTTTTACTGTATTTTGAAACTGACTATCTCAATTAAAAATTGTGCATCAAGTATGGATTTCACAGAAACTGATAACCAACTTACAATAGTGAATCGATCAAAGGAACATCGAATCAGTAGAAAGCTAATTCTTGAAATACCTTATTTTAAAAAGATGTTACGCCATGGTTTCAAGACTTCCAAGGTAAATAAAGTTTTTTTGGATTTCGATGAACAGACTCTGGAATCATTTCTGGATTGGTTTGAACTCGGTTATACCTTCGTCGAGATGAAAAACGCGTTAAATATGTTTCACATGCTCGATTGTTTTGGGATAAAAAAAAATGTTAGCAACATTGAAACATACTTTCATAATAATTTTACAATTGAACATCTTCCCATTATTTTGCCTCAAGTTACTTCAACATCTAAATTGATCAATTCTGGTACTTTAAATGCCTTCTTATGTCGTTATTTCGCAAAAATAGCAAACACAACTGTTTGGTTGGATTATCCGATAGAAACGATTGAGTACATTTGTAAGCTTGACCTGATGGTTCATTCAGAAAAACAAGTCTTTGACGCAATCATGAAATGGGCCAACTTCAAGAGCGATTCCAGGAAGTGTCATCTAGAAAGATTGTTAAATTTGGTTCGATTGTGCCATTTGAAAGCTACAGATATGACTTTGATTGAGGAAAATGAATTCGTTAAGTCTTCAGGCTTCAAACCAATAATTTGCTCCTCAAGAAAGCTCAATTGTGATTGTGGCCGCAACCGAACTGATCAAAATTATTTCATCATGATTGAAAGATTGAAGGATGAAGTCTTGCGAATAAAAGTACTTGACAATAATCTTCTGCCATTGTTCAATCGCGTAGTGGAATCTGACTCATTATTGCCTTCACATATTTTGCCTGATAAATATATTTCTGATATATTTTTCGGTTTGGGTGAGGTTATACGAGTTGATTGGAGGCGGAATAAATACAAATACCTTTCGGGGCATCATCAAGATTCTTATTCTGAAAAAATCTTTGAAAGTATTTATAAAGAGGATGGGTTAGTAGTTCATTCTGTTTTTAATCTCAATGCTAGTGCGCTAGATGATTTCTCGAAGGCGTTCTGTGCACAGTAACATAATTAGCTCGTTTATTACAACGTGTTATTTTTTGATTCAATAAAGACAATTTCTGGTCTCAATCAAAATATATTTTTTAATATTAATAATTTTTAAATTTTTTTCCAATCAGGCATCAAATCGAAGATTATTACTATTGGAATGGATTTATTGAAGCCAATGAAAGATGTATTTTGATCAATTTCAATTCCCAATCGGTGCGGTATTGGCCTAAACACACTACCAAAGATACTAAGATTTCTTCCGATAAATCTCATTTTTTCCATGCAACTGTTCTGGGTAATAATATTTACCTGTTGAATAAAAAACTTGAATTTATTCAGTCTGACATCTATTTCAAAAAATGTGTGACTTTTGATACGCATATCGATAAATCAATAGCAGAACTCTGCTATTTCATTCTTACCTCCAAACAATCTAATGATGATAGAGTTATTTTAATTGATACGATCTCAAAAGATGCTCGCTGTTTCAATGTCAATACTAAAGAATGGAGTTCAATCAATCATATAATTTATCCTAGCTATTACTCTAATGCTGAAAAAATGGAATTTTTTCGACTGTTAACTTTCACCTCAGGATTTCTATCAATGGACATTATGCGACTTTGTTCTCCTCATTGATAACATTGTATCATTCAAGTCTCTGGATCACAGAAGCGCTGGACTATTTTAATATTGCTAACTTTTATACTTCTAAATTTTTCTCTCCTTAAAATTAATCTTTTATTAATAATTTAAATAAAAACGATTCATATTTTACTTGAGATTGGTATTATAAATAGATAGACAAATAGAGAATGTCGAGTGAAGAGTTTCTGCATTAGCAAAATGGTTCTATGTTTGGCTTTTGAATGTTGCATTAGCTTCATCGAACCGCATATTTTCAACATATTTTGAAATTATCATCTTGATAAATTTTTTCAATCCTAAGGGTCCAATTTTTCGCAACACTCTGTGTAATGAAAATAGTATGTTTAAGGGTTTCAATACATTCATTTCAATAGTGTAGAGAGGGTAAAAAGTTTTTTGTTTCTTCTAATAGATGCGCAACAGACTAAATTTTAATGTTTCATTGTTTTATTCATTTGGTTACTTCTTATCTTCATCTCCTCTCACACCAGAAATTTTTACCCTCTTTTATTTTAACCGTCAATAATTTAAAAATATCAAAATAATTAAACTGAATTGAGAGTGCGTGTTCGCTATTCAGAGCTACTCACTAAGGATTAGTTAAAGCTTTACCGATTTGTTAGTATTGTTGTTGTCTTGCAGACAAACTTATTGTGACTCACTCGTATAGACACAACCGTTAACTTTGACTTCATTTTGTATAACTTAAACCTCAAACTATTATCTATCAAAAATTTTGTTTTTGATTTGCTATTTGTGACTCCACTATGGATAAATTGGAAATTGATGACAAACTGGCAATTGTAAATAGATCAGTTGAATATCGTATAAGTAAAAGATTACTTCGTAAAATACCTTATTTTAAAAAGATGCTGAACCACGAATGTTTGGAATCAAAAGAAAACAAAATTGTTCTGGATTTTGATCAAAGGGCTATAGAAGCGATTTTTGATTGGATAAAAACTGGTAAAGGCTTCTTCAAAATGGATTATGTGATAGAGTTGTGCAACATTTTCGATTATTTTGGACTGCCAGATTCTTACATAGCTAAATGTGTTGATTACTTTCATGATGAGTTTACTATTGCTCATCTTCCCAATGTTATACCTCAAGTGACATCAACATCTAAATTGATCAATTCAGCATCTCTCAATGCTTTCATCTGTCGTTATTTCACTAAGATAGCAAACACAAATGTTTGGTTAAATTATCCTCTTGAAACAATTGAGTACATTTGCAAGCTTGACTTGATGGTTCATTCAGAACTGCAAGTCTTTGAAGCAATCATGAAATGGGCCAACTTCAAATGCGATTCCAGGAAGTGTCATCTAGAAAGATTGTTAAAGTTGGTCCGATGGTGCCATGTAAAGGATGAAGATCTATCTAAAATAATGGAAAACGAATTTGTTAAATCTTTAAAATTCAATCCAAAGTTTTGTGCAGATGGCAATGGTAATTATGACTGTAATTTAAATCGGAATGAACAAGAATATTTTGTTATGATTGAAGAATATTGGCATAGATCTAATGATATTCGTATCACAGTACTTGCGAATGATTTACAGCCGTTGTTTAATCGAATACTTGAATTGGACGAAACGTTGCCTGAACACATTATTCATGATGAACATATTTCTGACTTACATTATGTTGAGCGTGACTCTGATAAGGAAATTATGCGAATTGATTGGAAGAATAATAAATATCGTTGGCTTCGTTTCTCAGCTTATTCGAATAAACTTATTGAATATATTTCAATAGATTCGACTGACAATTGTGAGTAAGTAACTAGTATCTTAAATTGTATTTACTTTGCTAGTCTCAATTTTCATACTCAAAAGACCAACTTGAATCACTTAATTTCAGCAACCTTTATTATAAAGTTCGTATCTGTTTAGTCTTTTAAGAATATTAATTTTGTTCAAGTCTTTCTTTTTTCAATTCCGTAATAATTTTCAAAACATTTTTCTTTCAGCAGAGAAAGCTCCATGAAGAAAGTGGCATTCAATCAAAACCATATGTACAGACGTGTACTTTTAGAAGCTAAAGACAAGTTTATCCTGATCAAAAAATATCGGCATTCATGTTATTATTGGTCAAAACCAACTGCTGATGAAGTTAAAGGTGTTCCTATTTTTAGTAATTCTTCTGACAAGGAAACTGTTTTGGATAATAAAATTTACATGTTAACAAGCGATCTTCAATTTATGGAACTTGACATTGATGACACTGATGACATTGAAACCAATTGCAAGTATAAGATGTTTCAACTTCCAAAGTCCAAGAAGAATCGGTACTTGAAAATATTACATCTAGCATCAAAGCAAACTAATGATGATCGGGTCATTTTTTTGGATGGATCTGAAAAAAGTGTCTATTGCTTCAATGTCAACTCTCAACGATGGAGTTCAATTGGACAAATAATAAACTGCAACTTTTTTGGTAACCGGAATAAAACAAAAGTGATAAGTTTAACCTCAGCTTTCATATCAGTCGACATCATCAACTTTGCTTAAGACGTAAACTCAATAATTTTACAAACTTAACAGCCTTACCTTAATAAACAGTTGATATTGGCTCAAACTTCAAACCCATAGTTTTAAACAGTACTTTTATCTAACTCAATTTTAACTTGTAGATGGTTATTATGACAATAGAATCCTTTGGCTTATTTTAACAAGTAAATGATTCAGACGATGGACCAGTCAAAGGATTTTAACTGAAGTAAAATAAAAGCATTCACTGATTGGCTCAATGGCTGGCTCCGGTTTCATCAAACTAACAAGAGTTTGCATTACAGGGTGAGCGAAAGTTTCTAGCAAGCAAGGGGCGAAATACGAAATAAATTTGTCTTTTACGCGTCAAAAGTGGATGCTTTCCCCTACCCACAATTTTCTAACCACCGGGTATATGCCTAGAAACCTCTTATCCCCAAACTGTAGATGAGTTATTTTTGTTTCAACAAGCACTTAAAAGCCTTGAAATAAAAGTGCCTCTAAAGTTTCTTAAACGCTTTCCTCAGCTCAGTTTCTCTATCAAAAAGTAGTTTGATGCTTCACTAAACATACAAAAATCATTTTTTGAACTAATTCTTTAACGCCTAGCTGAAAAATTGATCTGTGTAGGCATTTTGAACCATTTTTAAATTAAGTGAATAATATGGATTTATTAGAGACTGATGACCAACTAACGATTGTGAATAGAGCAATGCAACATCGTATTAGTAAAAAACTAATTCGTAAGGTGCCCTATTTTGAAAAGATGTTGAGCCATGATCTATTGGAAGCAGAGGAAAACAAAGTCGAACTGGATTTTGATGAAAAGGCTTTTAAGTGGTTCCTCATTTGGATTGAATTCGACTATATCTTCATTGAGATGGATTTTGTTATAGATATGTATAACTTGTTCGACTATTTCGGGATAAGTGATTGTTTGATGGACGATTTCGTCAAATATTTTCATGCAAATTTTTCAATTGAGCATCTTCCTGTTATTATACGCCAAGTGACTCCAACATCTAAGTTGATCAATTCTGGTGCTCTCAATGCTTTCATTTGTCGTTATTTTTTGAAAATTGTGAACTCACCTATTTGGTTGAAGTTTCCTATCCAATCAATTGACTACATTTGTGGATTGGACCTAATGGTTCCTTCAGAAATTCAAGTTTTCAATGCAATCATTAGATGGGCAGATTTTAAAGCTGATTCTAGAAAGGGCTGTTTCAAAGGATTGTTAAAGTTAGTTCGATGGTGCAATTTGGAAGAGAAGGATTTCCCCAAAATCAAAGAAAATGAATTTATGCGATCTTCTGACTTTGAACCAGAATTATGGTATTGTAACAAACCTGAGTGTTATTGTAGTGTCGACCGAACTAAACAGGGTTGTTTTGTCGTGGTTGAAGAATTGAATAAATCCGATTTGCAAGTCCAACTACTTGACAGGAATTTTCTGCCATTGATTAATCATACAGTTATTCAATCGGATGAATCAATGCCTTTGCTTGTTATTCATGATGAGCATGTTTCTGATATTTCATTTGATTCTGGAAGGCAAATGATACGAATTGATTGGAAGCAGAATAAATATCGTTTGCTCGATTGTCCAGCTTATAAATCACACTGTCCCAAAATGATCAGATGCATTTTTGAAGAGCAAGAAAGGTGAGTAATCGATTATTTACCTTTCTTATTATCCAATTTCTTAAATTTTTGTGGAAACTCTGAAGTTAATGAGTTTATAAATTATCAATACCCATTTTAATAATATTCATTGTTTCTGTTTAGTATGAAGGATTACCGTGTAACTCACTTTATAAGCTTCATAATGAATACTTTAGTAATTGTTATTTGTAAATCATTTTTTTTACATTCAGCGCGAGTTGTTCTGTGATGACGCCGAATCAGGAATACAGAGGTCCAAATCAAAATTATGAAAGCTCACTTCTCGAATCTAACGAAAAGCTCATTCTGGTTCGTAATGAGCTATACAGTTTCAGATTTTGGAAGAATCCATATATCACAGATATTAATTCTGAATTTGAATGCAATGGACATACTTACCTGGCAACTGTTTTGGATAAAAGTATTTATATGCTGACAGATAAACTCGAGTTTTTCGAGTTCGATATTGACCGTAAATTTGCTTTCAAAAAGATAAAACTTCCAAGGTTTGAAGATAAATTGAAATTCAATAACTTACTTTTAACATCCAAGCAAGCTGATGATGATAGGGTTATTTTTATTGATAAGACCACAAAAGATATTTTCTGTTTCAATGTCACCACTCAAGAATGGAAATCAATCGATCAAATCATTGATTGTAAAAGCAATTCTTCGGAAGATTCAAAGGAACCTAATGTTCTTAAAACTTTTACCTTTGGACTCATATCATTGGACACTATCAACCTTTGCTCGAAACATAAATTGACACAATGAAGTAAAGCTATATTAAAAAATACAATAATTTTTAAACTGATTTGATATTTTTGTTTACTTTATTTAATTTTCATCTAAATATTTCTTTTATTCATTTCATTCAAGTTGAAACCAAACTGATTTTTAGTAATAAACTAATGTAGCAAAGAATAGACTAGTAATTTTGCACCTTTTTTAAACTAAAGGGCCAGTTAAAATATAAGGATTCTTTTGATTTGTTTTTACTTGGACACTTATCGTTTGCTTTCTCAGTGTGTATGGTTAACCTTTCATCACTAACAATTAATCCATTTCTCTGTTTACATTCCTTAACTTGGTTTGATGCAATTACATTTGTACTTTAAGTAATGACAATCAAATTACGATACTCTTTAGGATGGCTTTTTTGGACCAGTTTAAATTCGATTAGAGGTTGAATTCTGAAAAGAGGATGTCAAGAATAGGCAAAATGGTCGCATCTCATAATTTGTTCAAACTTTCTTCTGATGTACAAATTGATGGGAAAGTTTCTGGTTGTGAGGTGGAGCCTTATCTGCGTAGAAGAGTGTTGCTCTGTTAAATAACATTCCAAACAGTGTGATTGCGCATAAAAGCTTAAAAAACCCATTCATCAGAAGCTTTCCAATCAACCCTTATGAATCATAACTTATGATGATACCAACAGATAACTAACTTAAAATCTGGTTTTGCTTTGACGACTGATTATACACAATATTTGTAAGTTTACTTGTCAACTCGTTAAGACTAATCATCTGAACTATTTTAGTTTGTGTTATATTTTACTAATTTGTTGAGTTTTTAAGAATCATAAATTGTATTACAAGAAAATTTGACATGTGTTCGTATGATCACTGGTCCTTTATGGATTCATCAGAAACTAGTGACCAACTTACAATTGTTAATCGATCGAATGAACATAAAATTAGTGAAAGACTAATTCGGATCGTACCCTATTTTGATAGGATATTGAAGGAATCAAAGGACAAAATAATCGAACTGGATTTTGATGATAAGGCTTTAAAATCATTCTTGAATTGGCTTGAATCGAATACTGTATCCATCGAGATGGATTATGTAATGCATCTGTACAGCATGATGGACTGTTTCGAGATCAAAGGTTATATGATGGTCCATTTCTTATCATTTAGAGTAAAAGATCTTGTACAGCAAGATTGTATCAACTATTTCAATGATAATTTTTCACTTAAATATCTTCCTGTTATTATACCTCAAGCAACTCCAGTATCTAAATTAATAACCTCGAGTCGTCTCAATGCTTTCATCTGTCGTTATTTCTTGAAGATAGCGAACACTAATGTTTGGTTGGATTATCCTGTTGAAACAATTGAATACATGTGTTCCTTGGTCCTGATGATTCATTCAGAATACCAAGTATTCGATGCAATCATGAAATGGATCAAAGCAAAGGCTGATTCCAGAAAGGGCTATATTGAAAGATTGTTAAAGTTAGTTCGATGGTGCCATTTGGAAGATAAGTATTTACCTAAAATGAAGGAGCAGGTTCAATCTCTGAATTGTCAACCTTCGAAATTATCCTCTTTCAGAAAACGTGATTGTGATCTTACTTGCAACCGGACCAAGCAAGAGTATTTCATTCAGATTTGCAATTCGTGTATTCAAGGTTTACGAATCATAATATATGACAATAATTTTTATCCATTGATAGAAAAGGTCGTCAATTCAAACAAGAGTATGACTATCGACTTTCTTCATGTTGAACATGTTTCTGATATCTTTTTTGACTCTGGTGAGGAAGGAGTTCGAATTGATTGGAAACGCAATGAATATCGTTGGCTGGATCGATCGCAATACAAAACCTATTTCCTTGACATCCATAATTACATTCAAGAGAAGGACTTGTAAGTAATTGTTTTGATATCTCATTTCACACCCGATTTGATGATCATATGCAATCATCTACGTTTATTTTTATTGCTATCGAGTTATTTTCAGAATCGTTGCTTACAATTTTATCTATCAATAATTACCACATCTTGCTTCTTGTTTTATTTACATTTCAGTTGGAAAGATAATAATCCGGGGCCTAGTTGTGAATACAACTTTAAATTCTCAGGAGTTTTACTTTTCGAAGCTGATGAAAAGTACATGTTGATTTGCAATAGTTGGTTACTTGAATGCTGGCCAGCAAATGCCGAACTAATTTCGAAATATTTTCGAACCAATGGACCAAACAAATTACGTGCAACTATTTTAGACGATAATATTTACTTTTTGGCAAATTCCGATTTCATAAAGTTGAACATCAATACAAACGAGGAAACAATTATCGGGCTTGAAAGGTTCAAAAATAGACTGCACTTCGATAATTTACTTATAACTTCTAGAAAAGCTAATGATGATAGAGTTTTTTTGATTGATAAGTTCACAAAGGATGTCTTTTGTTTCAACGTCAACACTCACCAATGGAGTTCAATGGGACGAATCGTTAATTGTAAAAACAAATCTGTGGTTGAGCAAAAGGAATCTAATGCTCTTTCTAAAACTTTTACTTTTACGTCTGGAACATCAGAATCTACCAATCTTCCTTTTTTCCAGGCTTCAACTAACAAGCTGCCAACTTTCACCTCGACTTTCATATCGCTGAATACTATGAGGACTATGAGGATGGCCCATAATGAAAACTCGACGAATTAACAATGTACACAATTATTTCATACTCCGAATAACATAATATAGCTAGATTTCGCATGTTTACCAATCGATAATTATCTTACTTGAATTAATCGATTACAATCGATGTAATCGATATAATGGCCCACCTCTAATCGTTTGGCTTATTTTGAATCTCTAGCTTTCGCGACTTCCTTGTCAATCTTATTTAATAATCTTTACTCTTGATATTGTTATTAACAAGTTACTCATTTTTAACTAGCAAACAATTATTTAACTGACTCTTTTAAAACTTATTGATTAATTTTATTATATTGATTTCGTGAAAATCTGAGATTTTATTTGTGTTTTAATTCAAGTGTTCAAATATGGATTCATTAGAGACTGTCGACCAACTAACAATTGTGAATCGATCATTGGAACATCGTATTGATAAAAAACTAATTTGCAAAATACCTTACTTTGAAATTATGTTGAGCCATGACTGTTTGGAATCACAGACAAACAAAGTTGAATTGAATTTCAATGAAAAGGCTCTAAAATCGTTTCTCGATTGGCTTGAATTGCATAGTATATTCCTCGAGATGGATTATGTAATAAATCTGTGCAACATGCTAGACTATTTCGGGATAAAAGATCATTTGGTGCAAGATTGTATCAACTATTTCAATGATAATTTTTCACTTAAACATCTTCCCGTTGTTATGCCTCAAGTGATTCCAGTATCTAAGTTAATAGACTCGAGTCGTCTCAATGCTTTCATCTGTCGCTATTTCTTGAAGATAGCAAACACTAATGTTTGGTTGGATTATCCTGTTGAAACAATTGAATACATGTGTTCCTTGGACCTGATGATTCATTCAGAATACCAAGTATTTGATGCAATCATGAAATGGATCAAAGCAAAGGCTGATTCCAGAAAGTGCTATATTGAAAGATTGTTAAAGTTAATCCGATGGTGCCATTTGGAAGATAAGGATTTATCCAAAATAAGAGAAAATGAATTAATTGGATCTTTCAACTCTACACCAGAAATTTGTGCTCATGACGAAAGTAACTGTAACTGTATAAATGACCGAACTAAACAAGGTTGTTTTGTTTTAATTGAAGAATGGCTGGACGACAAAGATTTGAGAGTCAAAGTTCTTGACGGTAATTTTGGGTTACTGATTAATCAAGTAGTTCGATTAGATGAGTTTATGCCTTTGATTCTACTTCAAGATGAACATGTTTCTGATATTTCATTCGATTCTGGAAGGCAAATGATACGAATTGATTGGAAGCAGAAGAAATATTGTATGCTCGATCTTACAGCTTATAAATCGTATTATCAAATTTATAGATCCATTTTTGAAGATCAAGAAGGGTAAGTAATCGATATTTTAAATTAATCCACTTGTCTGTAATAATTAAATTACTGTATTTTTATAAAGCTTTACTAAAGTTTGAAAATTATATTGATGCACATCGTTGCTTGGTTCACCTCTCATAGCTCCTCCTAATTCGTTATGATAAATGGTCTAGCACAATCAACCCTCTTTAAGTTAGAAGTTACTATGCAATGGTCCTTACAACCTACCCAATATCGAAGTAAATACATTAATCATTAATTAAGTTGATAAAAAATACGGTAGTTTATCGAAAAATAGACCTTTGACTCTGACCTCACAAAGTCTAACTTAGACGGGTTGACTTATTTTTAAAACATTTTTTGCACATTTTAGGCTGAAATTCCACAGTGTGATAACTAAACCAGATCAATCAAACTCAGATCTTATGTATGAACTTTCACTTCTCGAAGCTGCCGAAAAGTTCATTCTTGTTCGTAATGGACTTTACAGGTTCAAATGTTGGGAGAATCCATCCATAGCAGATATTAAAAATCAATCCGAATGTTATGGGCAAAAACAATGTACTTACTTGGCAACTGTTCAGGACAACAATGTTTATGCGCTGACAAGGAATCTGGATTTCTTCCGATTCAACATAAGTAAGTGTGAGTTCAACAGGATTGGATTTCGTAAAGATAAATTTAAATTCGTTAATTTACTTTTAACATCCAAGCAAGCTAATGATGATAGAGTTATTTTGATTGATAAGACCACAAAAGACGTTCTCTGTTTCAATGTCAGCACTCAAGAATGGAAATCAATCGATCAAATCATTGATTGTAAAAGCAATTCTTCGGAAGATTCAAAGGAACCTAATGTTCTTAAAACTTTCACCTTTGGATTTATATCTTTGGACTCGATCAACCTTTGCTTGGAGCAAAATTAACACAATAAAGTAAAGCTTTTTTGATACAATGATTCATAAACTGAGTACACTGTGTATCATTGTTAACTTTGTCAACCAATTTCCAGTCGTGCGTCCTCCCGTCAATCCGGGGCTTTTATGTTAGAGCGACAAGCCTTGGCCAACTCAGTATAAATTTTTCCATATTATATTCCTGGAAGTTCACTTCTCGAAGCTGATAATAAGTTTATTTTGATTTACACTCATGAAAGGGCATTATATTGCATAACACCAACTGCTGATGACATTGAAACGCATTTCAAGAGCTATGAGAATGATTTTCACGCAACTTTATTGGACAATAACATTTACATACTGACAAATAAGCTTAAGTTCATATATTTCAACATTTCTTATATTAATAGGAGCATCAGAATGAATCGGTAGAAACGAAATGCACTTTGCAAATTTACTTCTCACTTCCAAGCGATCTAATGATTATTATTTTGTTTGTTAAGTCTACAAGAGCTACAAGTCTCTGTTTTAATGTCAACACTAAAAGATGGGATTCAATTGACCTTAAGATTAATAACAAATCTACCGGTGACTCAAAGAATTCTAATAAGCTGTTAACTTTAACCTCAGCATTTAGATCGATAAATGTTACCAGACAGCACATGAGCCGTGATCTCAAATAACACTTTGTAAAGATTCATTTACATTCAGTTATATTAAAATATGTTGCTTTGAAATACAGTCACCCTTCTAAAACTGCACCATTCTGAAACTGCACTTTTTTTCTCAATGGTCCCTATTAAGGAGGAGTTTGATTTACTTTTGAATTTCGTCGATTTTTGATTCAATTTTTGCAATTATCAATTGATTTAATTCAATTTTCTTTCGTGAAATATCAAACCAAAAACTCGTAAAATCAGTTTAAAGAAAAGTTTTAGGTTAAATTCAACCTATTAAGGAAGATTGAAAATCATGAAATATGCTGCCCGATCAATAGTGTAAATAAGCTATTTCACGAGAGGTGCAGTTTCAGAAGGGTGACTGTAGTTTGTATGCAAAGTGATTTTAGAACAAAAACTATTTTTTTCTTAGATTTATTTCATTCTTATTTCAAAGATTTCTTACCAAATCCAATGTACAAGAAACATGATGAGATTAAAGATTGACCATTAGTTTAATGCTCATAATAAATACTATTACAACAATTTTGTTCATTGAAATAATAAAAATACTTCACTAATGCATTTCTCTTCAACTTTTTATGAAAATATAATAGCAGTTCATTACTCCAAATTTATCAAGATTGTCGATTTGAGTCAAACAGTTTTTTTTTGTTATTGGTTTGGCACAAAATAAGTGTTGGAAGTTTTCAACTCATATAAGTGTTTGAATTCAGTTTGAATGCTTCGGCGATAATGATTAAGTTCATTTATGTGACATTGGGTTAAGAACAGATGATTCTTCTTCGTGGCTCCATCACAGCCGTATTCCTTAACTCAGAGTAAACCTCGTTTTAACTTATCTGATTACTTGATTGTGACTGGCATTTTATTCAGCACTTAGTTTGACCTCGGCATAATGTGTCGATTGCAAGTCACTTTGCATAGCTAATAACCTTAAAAGTACTAATTTAGTCGATAATCAAACTGTTGCTAATGGGTTGTGTACTAATTGCCTCAATGTTCAATGATATCAATTTATAATGACGTTATTTCGAAAATAAAAATCTTGTAATTTGCAGAATCGGAAAATCGATGTAATTTTTTTTCCTTTTCTTACCTGTCTTAAGAGTGGAAACAGCAATTAATATTAATTTTCATTGTGGAAAGAAACAGTTTTTTCATCAATCATTAGCTCTGTAAATTATTGATTGATCATAATGAAATTTAAACCATCAATTATTTTTCCAATATTGATTCGAATGTTTCCATTTCTATTCAATCATTTTGCCAACATATTAAACTATTATATCTATTATACTTATCATGTCGTCGATTGTGTTCACAAATTGAATTTAATGCTTTGTAATGTTCAAAAATTTAAAAATGAATTAAAGCTGTTTCTTTTCACGAACAATTGAATGAGTTACAAAAAGCAACAAAAGATGATTAATAGCATTAATAGGTTAAAATCAATGCCGATTCTATTAATATGATTATGTTTATTGCAACGAACCTCTTACATTAAGTTGCTCAACTGGAATCTACAGAAAATACTCTCATTGTTCATTGATTGAAAATTCAATAACATGGAAAGAAGAAAAATATTCGTAGCTTCAATTCGAACCTTTTGTCTTGTGATATGCATTTTTCAATTTTATTTGTTAACACGTAATTATCTTCGATTCGATGTTCGTAAAGAAGTGACAAATTATATTGCAAATGAAATTGAAATCCCAGAAGTTCGATTCCTGATTCCATATCAATTTGCGTTTGATCTCAACTTTTTACGAACAAAATATAAATCTAGTTTTGATGCCATTTGTCGTAAGTTTTCTGATAAGGACGATTGTGATGGTTATTTAACGAATTCTGTTTTATTTACCAAATCTTTCGGTCACTTGTTGCCATTATCTGATATCGCCGAGCACTCGTATCCAGTTGAAAGATTCATAAATAAAATTCATTGGTCTGAATCTTCAGAAGATCCTTTAGAGACCGGGAAATGTGAGATAACTAAAAAGGCTTCAGCTTCATATCTGGTACTTGTGCTCCATTGTTTGGACTCTTCTGGTTTACCTCTTAAAGTATCTCGGTCTAGAGCCGTTGTGTTCAACTCAAACTATTTATTAAATTTCCGTTTGAACGCTACAGTAATGTTGATGAAGTTGGTTTATCCAGGAAAAGCATTGGTCGAGGATAGCAGTCTACATACTTTTGCTATTACTAATAAGGGAAAGCAACCATCGTGCGCTATTCGTTTCACGAAACACACGGAAAACTTGTTGCCTCCTCCTTATAAAACAATGTGTAAAAACTATGATCGACGTCAAGTTTTTGAAGAATGTCTTAATAACAAATCTCTTACTCGAACGGGATTGCTTTCCTTTGCAACTGCAGTACCTTTAGATAAGCACACAAAATTGCATTTCAACTCTCCTTATCTCAATCAAAACAGCTCAGCCCTTGAAATTTACGAGGATTGTTTAGCACTGGTGACTCAACCAATGTGTAACTCAGTTCGATACTCATTTCAAATGTCCACAAATCTTCAGGATACTGCGAGTGGTAATGAACAAATAAAATTCCATTTTATGGCTACATCTGAACCCGATTCCTTAACTGAGAGCAAACCTGATTTTCCTATGTTTGATTATCTTATTCTGACTGGCAGTTTATTCGCTACTTGGTTTGGTATAAGCATAATGGGTCAATTAATTTCTGTTAGTAAATTGCTTTGCTTAACCTTCGACCAAAGAAGTACAATTGACGTTGAGAGTCTGAATAAAGAACCAGTGACTCGAACACGATGCTGGACATGACTGATGCCTTTTCGCTGATTACGGTGAAATCAACCTATTCTGCTAAGACCCGAACTCTTGATGTAAAAAACAATTATCAAAGTTTTTTTATCAAATCAGGGATCAAATGGCCTCCATTTACTGAGACAATTTTTACAATAGGGATTGTAAAGCGTTTTGAGAATTAAATGAAATTATCAAGTTGGAAACGAGAAATGCCCTGTAAATCGGCAAAGCAATCAAAAAGGAAAGTGAGTATTTTCTTTTGCCCGGCAGTCTAAAAATCTATCATTGTGTTAATGATAGATACTGATACTGATGAATACTACACTAAGGATTCACAACAATACTTGTATCATTATCATAATATTATATTTTCATTTGTAGAATCGTTTGGCTATTGTAAGTGATTCAAGTTAAAATATTACAAGTTGGAAGTCATTCATAGGGTGAGCCAGTCATATATGTTCAATTTGAAGTGAAAATGAAAAACATTTACTGAATGACAATATTGTCGATTGCTTCAAAATACTGTTAATTCAAACGAAAGTCTCCAATCTTGTTAGCATTTGTTGGCGTTGAAGCACACTGTTTGAAAATTGCTAGTTGACGAGTTGTAACGAGTAATTTGCAGCATTTTGTTTTTAATTGTCATTTGTGAATAAAAATGAATTCATTAAAAACTGATGATAAACTTACAATAGTGAATGGTACAATGGAACATCGTATTAGTAAAAAAATAATTCGCAAAGTGCCTTATTTTGACAGAATGTTGAGCCATGATCTATTAGAATCAAAGGAAAACAAAGTTAAACTAGATTTCGATGAACGAGCTCTCAAATTGATCCTTAATTGGTTGGAATTCGGTCTTATTTTCATTGAAATGGATAACGTAATAAACTTGTGCACCATTGCTGACTATTTTGGTGTCAACAATTATTTGATAGATGATTGTATAAGTCATTTTCATGACAACTTTTCAATTGAACATCTACCTGTCGTCATACCACAAGTTACTCAAACATCTAAATTAATAAACTCTGGTGCTCTGAATGCTTTCATTCGCCGTTACTTCATGAAGATAGCAAATACAACTGTTTGGCTGGATTATCCTATTGAAACCATTGCATATATTTGCAAGCTTGACCTGATGATCTACTCAGAAATCCAAGTATTCGATTCGATCATGAAATGGATCAATTTCAAAGCTGACTCTAGAAAGTGCTATCTTAAAGAATTGTTCAAGTTGATCCGATGGTTCTATTTAGAAGATAAGGATTTATCGAAAATCAAAGAAAATGAATTGGTTAAATCTTGTAACTTTGAGCTAGAATTATGCTCGCATGATAGTTCTAATTGTAATTATACCATTGACCGAACTAAACAAAGTTATTTTGTGGTACTTGAAGAATCAGATGACAAAGATTTGCGAGTCAAAGTTCTTGATCATAATTTCATACCGTTGATTAATCGCGTAATTCAATCAGATGAATCAATGCTTTTGAATCTCCTTCATGATGAACATACTTCTGATATATTCTTTGATTCTGGAAGGAAAATGATTCGAATCGATTGGAAGCAGAATAAATATCGTTTGCTAAAATATCTAACTCTGAAATCATATTATCCTAAAATTTATCGATGCTTTTTCGAAGATCAAAAAAGGTAAAAAAATATTGCTATAATCAGTATTCCACAATCTAAATTGGCATTTTGTAATTGATCTGACAAATCATGATATGATTATAACTACATCTGTATTCATTCCTGTTTCATGATTGTTAGATATTCAGAGAAAACCTTTTGAATTTCTTCAGTCACTCCTTGCATTAATTATTTTAATATAAATAATAGTCGTATTTTCATTCATATATTTTAGTGAAGCATATGGCAAGGAGATGTTGCCTAAATATTATGGAGACCACAAGACTAAAGGATCACTTGTCGAAGCTAACGACAAGTTTATTTTGGTTTGTCATCATGAATATTGGCTCAAATGCTGGACAAATCCAACTACTGAAATCATCAATTCTCACTTTGATGACACTGGATACACATACCTGACAACTGTTCTTGATAACAGTATTTACATGATAAAAAATAATTTTGAATTCTTCCAGTTCAACATTGATAGTAAGCTTGAGTACAAGAAGGTGGAAATTGATAGATTAAAACATTTTAAAATCTATAATTTACTTTTAACTTCCAACCTAGCTTGTGATGATAAAGTAATCATCATTGACAAGTCTACAAAAGCTGTCTATTGTTACAATGTTGAAACTGACAAATGGAGTTCGATGGGTCGAATCAGTAATTGTGATAGCGAATCTGCTGATGGTCAAAGAATATCTGATCAGCTTTTAACTTTTACCTCAACGCTTCTATCGATGGACACTATTAAATCTACCATGAACATGAATTGAAACCTACGTTATTCGCCACCGACGACGGCGAACGTGAAAGCTAGCTTAAGTATGAGCTAATTATTGAAATACTAGATCATTCAAGATTATACAAAATTGGTTATAGCATTGACAGATTTTATACTTGATTTATACAAATGTAAATGGTTACTCAAACACAAATCTTATCATGTTATCTTGTTATCCTATTAAAGGCTTTTAAATTAAATCCTTTATATCCATTATTAAATGAATTAGCTCAGATTTTCTTCGATATTCAGTGATATTACCTATAGTATTAAAATCTAATGATTGGTCAAAGAATGATGATTGTATGTGAAACTATTCTTGAAATATTGAAGCTCAAAGTTTTGATTGAATGGCCAAAATCAAAAAAATATTCGAGCCATGATGTGAACCAACAATTATTATCGAAGAATAATGAGATTCAGCTCGCTAAATTTTTCGGTCACAAAAACAGAAGGTTCAACTAAAAATCGAACTGATCTGTTTTGTAGACAGAAATTATTTCTTAAAATAAGCGCATTTACGGTTGGAAATCAAAATTTACATCAGAAAAATGAGTTTCATGAAAAAATCTGCTGTCATAAATGAACAAAAAAGTGAAGTTTCAACTTTGAGGTCAAGTTTCTCGAAAACTGTTGATCAGAGAAATTTTTTAACAGCACTTATGGACTCAGTTTTCATGCTCATACAAACTACTCTCAACTTGCTAGTCAAAGTTTTTATCTTTAGTCTTATAAACTCAAAATAATTATTTAATCAAAGTGAAAATTAAATTTGAAGCAGAAGAGGAAAGTTATCTCAATGCGTCACTTTCAAAGTAATACAAAAGTCTGGCTCCATACAGTCTAGTCTAACTGGCGCAAAAGTCATTCTCTGCTTGGTTAAAATAGTCATCTCGGGTAACAAAAAATTAGAGTCTACATTAAATTAAACCAAAGAGTAATAGCGCGAGAGAGACCGACAATGAGAGCTGTAGATAAGAGAGGTAAGAAGTTTAAAGGAGCAATAAAAATGAATTAGCAGTGAGAGAGAGATTGGGGTAGAGACGAAAAATTGACAAAAAAATAAATGTAAACAAATGATTTTTGATGAAAAAAAGTTCAAAAAATCAAGAAAAATTTAAAGGATTGTTAGTGGCGCCATCACATTCTGCCCCTATTCCCAATTCTTATCTATTTATTATCTATTATTACCTAACTGACTACATTGTCAATAGTGCAATTATTTTTAATTTAAAGTGTGTCACACATGGATTCAACAGAAACTACTGACCAATTTACAATCGTAAATCGATCCATGGAACATCGTATCAGTAAAAAACTAATTCGCAAAGTGCCTTATTTTGACAGAATGTTGAGCCATGATCTATTGGAATCAAAGGAAAACAAAGTTGAACTGGATTTCGATGAACGAGCTCTCAAATTGATTCTTAATTGGTTGGAATTCGGTCTTATTTTCATTGAAATGGATAACGTGGTAAATTTGTGCACCATTGCTGACTATTTTGGTGTCAACAATTATTTGATGGATGATTGTATAAGTCATTTTCATGACAACTTTTCAATTGAACATCTTCCTGTCGTCATACCACAAGTTACTGCAACATCTAAGTTGATCAACTCTCGTGCTCTTAATGTTTTCATTTGTCGATACTTCACAAAAATAGTGAACACAACTGCTTGGTTGGATTATCCTATTGAGACCATTGAATTTGTTTGTGCGTTGGACCTTATGATTTACTCAGAAAAGCAGGTTTTCGATGCAATCATAAGATGGATCAAATTAAAAAAAATCCTAGAAAGTCGTATCTTAAAAGATTGTTAAAGTTAATCCGATGGTGCCACTTGGTATGTAAAGATTTGGCTGAAATAAAGAAAAATAAATACGTGAAATCTTTAAAATTTGAACCAAAATTATGTTCTCGTGACAAATCTGGTTGTGATTGCAGTATTGATCGAACTAAGCAGAACTTTTTTATTATCATTGATCAATTGGATGCTGCGAACTTGCGAGTCAAAGTACTTAACAGATATTTTGTGCCTCTTGTTAATAAAGTGGTTGAACCAGATGATTCAATGCCTTTACATCTTGTCCACAATGAACATGTGTCTGATATTTTTGATTCTGGAAGGAATATAATTCGAATTGATTGGAAGCAGAAAAAATATCGTCTACTAGACTATAAATCACATTATCGTAAAATTCATAAATGTCTTTTTGGAGACCAGAAAAGGTGAGTAATCATTCCTCATTTCAATTGTTATGCCACAATCGATCTCTATCTGAATGTGATGAGCTCTGCTTATTCTTGAGTAAAACTTTCTGAACTTACTTGTTAGTTATTCCCTGTATCAATTATTTTATCATTTTCCCTTCGTACATTTCAGTGGAGCTCATTCCGAGATATTATTGCCTGTTGAAAAATCCTGTTATGAAGATTGTTGGACTGTAAATTCACTTCTTGAAGCTAACGATAAGTTTATTTTGGTTCGTAGCCATGCAGATTGCTTCCAATGTTGGACAACACCAACTACTGAACAAATTGACTCTCACTTCATCGACTGTGGACACACAAGTCTGGCAACTGTTTTGAATAACAACATTTACTTACTAAAACATAATTTTGAATTCTACCAGATCAACGTTGATAGCAAGTTCAAGTTTGGGTGGATGACAGTTGATAGGTTGAAAGATTTTAACTTCGGTAATTTGCTTTTAACTTCCAGTCAAGCTATTGATGATAAAGTTTTTATTATTGAAAAGTCTACAAGAACCCTCTTTTGTTACAATGTAAAAACTGAAAAATGGAGTTCAATTGGTCGAATCAGTAATTGTGATAACAGATCTGCTGATGGTCAAAGAGAATCTGATAGGCTTTTAACTTTCACCTCAACATTTATATCGATGGACACTATTGCATCTGAACTCGGATGAATGAAATAGCGATTCTAAAGTTATTTTGACAAAAAATTATTTTTCCAAGTGCCTCTAGACTTTTATTTTATAGATTATCAATATTTAGGTCATAAAGATTTTGTTAAGAAGCAGTCAAAAGCTTAATTCATACCGATAGGTCAAACCGATACCAGAAAACAGGCTTAGAAAAAATAGGCGAGTTCCTTAATCATCCTATTTTATCGTCTTCACTTGAAGAAATTAGAGCATAAGAACAAGAGTTTTCTGAATTCAGTTGACTTTACATCGTTACCTTTCCGTTTTACATACATTTCGTATGTGATCAATTTGAGGTTTATGAATGATGGATGTGTTAGATATGGTTGGTGGACAATATGGTCACAATACAAATTTCACCGCAATCATCAAATCTTTGAAGTGCTTTCTTCTGAGTATTGAACTCTTCTCGGATAACTTGGCATTGTTGTCTTTGGGTAGTAATGATTCTAGGTTCAGCGGGAATTGGACCAAGAAAGGCAACTTATTAACTCGGTCCCTGATTAACTTACAACACAGAAACGAACAAATAAACATGGTATTAAGGCGCTAATACTTAACTTGATGTAAACACTTATGAACCCTTTTCTTGTTTATATCTTTTCGCTTATTACACTATCATTTGTAAGCCAATTAGTATAGAAATCAAATTACAAGATTCTTCTAGGATTTTCACAAGTAAATGTGAAATAACTGCATCAAATGTACTAATTGGTTGTTTGAGAGGTTTCAATCTCTACCATTTTTAAGTAAGAAAACAATTAACTTGAGAAAGAGTTATCATTTGAATAATTTAAACTGTTGAGAGTTTTAGCAAAGAGTGAGTGACACTTTAACGAAAGATTTCAATTTTTGTTGCCTCTTTGCTTCTGAAGATAAAATAAACTGATAACCCAGAGTTCATGATTAATTAACGAGAGATGGCGTTTTTCAATTGTAAAATGAATTAAAGTCAAGCGTACCCGACAGCCTAATCCAAAACTGAATCTGTTACACTTAAACATCTTTATTATGATTTTGAACTGTAAGCTTTATTACAATTTTGTGATTTAATTTAAGTTTGTGCATTGCCCATGGATTCATTAGAAACTGATGATCAATTCATAATAGTGAATCGATCTAGGGAACATCGGATTAGTAAAAAAGTAATTCGTAAAGTGCCTTATTTTGAAAAGTTGTTAAGCCATGAATGTTTGGAATCAAAGGAAAACAAAGTTGAACTGGATTTCGATGAAAAAGCTTTAATATTGTTTCTTAAGTGGGTTGCTTTCGATTATTTGTTAATCGAAATGAAGAATGTAATAAGCCTTTACAACATGATTGATTATTTTGGTGTGGACAGTAATCTTATCCAGGATTGTGCTACTTATTTTCGTGATAATTTTTCAATCAGTCACCTGCCAGTTGTGATTTCACAAGTCACTCCAACATCTCAATGCATCAACTCTGGTGCTCTCGATGCTTTCATCTGTCGCCATTTCTTGAAGATTGCAAAATCAAAAGCTTGGTTAAACTATCCTATTGAAACCATTGAGTATATTTGTGCCTTGGATCTAGTGATTCATTCAGAAATGCAAGTTTTCAATGCGATCATGAGATGGATCGATTACGAGGCTGAATCCAGCAAGATCCATCTTGAAAGATTATTGAAGTTAATCCGATGGTGCCATTTGAGTCGTAAAGATTTGTCTAAGATAAAGGAAAACGATTGCGTCAAGTCTTCCAACTTTGAACCGATATTTTGCACGCCTGTTCAATGCAATGGTTATTGCACCTTAAACCGAATCAATCAATATTATTATGTCCTGATCGAGGAACTGGATGGTACAGATTTGCAAATCAAAGTGCTGACCAAAAATTTTATGCCATTTATCAAACGAGTCATTAAACTAGATGAATCAATGCCTTTGAATCTTCTGCACAATGACCATGTTTGTGATATAGTTTTTGATTCGGGAAGGAAGATGATTCGTGTTGATTGGAATCAAAATAAGTACCGATTGATTGGTTTGGAGGAACTCAAATCTCATACTTTTAAAATCCGTAAATGTATACCTGAAAAGAAATAGTAAGTAATTAATTCTGTTATTCTAAAGGTTTTCCTCCCCCTCTGTCAACTATCATTAATGTCAATTATTAAAAGAAAAATAACACTTTTTCAACTTTTCTGCATTATTACTTTTCTAGTGACGAACTCTATGATTTGCATGTGAACCTTAGCCGTTATTATCCTCAAGGTTCACTTCTTGACCTAAATGGAGAGTTTCTTTTGATTTCTACTAATAGTGAGAAAATGTTTTGCTGTCTTTCACCAAGTGATGCAAGGATTGAAAGATTCTACCATGGTTCTCATTGCGAATATCTGGCAACTGTTTTGGATAATAAAATTTACATTATGACTTCCAGTCATGAATTATTCGAGTTCAACATTGACAGTGGAAAGACCCAGAAATTCACGCGTAAAGGTGAAGCGGAATTTCGTGATTTATTTTTAATTTCCAAGCCAGAGCAGGATAAAATTATGTTGATAGACAAATCCAAAGAAATTGTTGACTGTTTCAATGTCAGGACTAAAGAATGGAGTCCATTTGGTATTATGGTCAATAACTTTACCTCTACTGGTAATCAAAGGAAGCTCAACAAGCTGTTAACTTTTACCTCTGCCTTTTTACCGATAAACACTATTAGATCTTGCATAAAGCGTGAGCGCAAACCAGTGGAATAATGATGATTTTGCTAATTTCATCGAAAAATAATTAAACTGAATTGTGAATGCATTTAATTCAATCATCTTCTGCTACAAAGAAGTTCTCATATTCATTAAACTTATCTTTTCCACGAATAAAAAACTATTCAACTTATAAACATTTGTGAACCCTCTTCTTGTTAACATCTTTTCGCTTATTCAACTATCATTTGTAAGCCAATTAGTATAGAAATCAAATTACAAGATTCTTCTAGGATTTTCACAAGTAAATGTAAAATAACTGCATCAAATGTGCTAATTGGTTGTTTGAGAGGTTTCAATCTCTACCATTTTTAAGTAAGAAAACAATTATCCTTCGGGGAAGAGTTATCATTTTACAAATATTGTTCAACAATCTAACGAATTAAACTGTTGAGAGCTTTCAGTAAAGTGTGAGCGTAACTTTAATGAGCGATTGATCTATCAGTTATATTCCTAAAGGTTCACTTACCGAAGTTTATGAAAGTTTTTTTTGATTGCTGATACAGATGCAAGACGATGCAAAGTTGTATTGCTGAGAAGTGCCAACTGAAGAAATTATTGAGATATTCTACCGTGATTCTGAAAACAATTAGTGTGCAACTGTTTTAGATAACAATATTAACGTATTATTAATGAATGAATGCTGTGAATTCATCCATTTATTTTTATTTAAATTTGATGAGTTATAGTTATAAATTGAAGTAAACTTTTTTAATAACTATTTTTGATTATTTTTCCTTATTTTAGTGAAGATCATTTTGAGGGGATGCCGCGCTTTTGCAAAGGATATGATTCGTCTTCAGGTTCACTCCTCGAGACAACGACAAGTTTGTTTTGGTTCGTTATCATAAATATCTGTTCAGATGTTGGACAATTCCAAATCCTGCAGTTATTAAAAGCCATTTTGTCGAAGCTGGACGCAAATATCTAGCAACGGCTTTGGATAACAATATTTACATGATTAAAAATAGTTTAGAAATCGCCCAGATCAAAGTTGGTTAATTATAAGCTCGAGTATAAGGAGGCTGATATTGAAAGATTAAAAGATTTTCAGTTAGATAATTTAATTTTAACTTCCAACCTAGCTTATGATGATAAAGTTTTTATCATTGACAAGTCTACAAAAGCTGTCTATTGTTACTATGTTGAAACTCAAAGATGGGGTTGAATGGGCCAAATCATTGATTGTGATAGCAGTTCTGCTGGTCAAAGACAATCTGCTAAGCTTATAACTTCACTCCAGTGTTTATACCGATGGAGACTATTGCATCTGTACTCGAACAAAGGAAGTGATAAACTGAGGACCCTTTTTTGTCACTAATAAAAAACAATCATATTGTGATAAGTTTTACGGTCATTCAATAAATCAATAATGTATTTACTCGTTTCTGTTTTTAAAGTTGTTAGATAAGATATCCAGATCAATTCGTAACATCAATTCTTTGGCTCATCTAATGGTTTTATTATTGCACAGTTGTATGGGCAATTACACGTTAAAAAACCGTTACAGATGAAACCTTGACTGTGCTTTTATTTCCCATTGTTTATTTTAAGGATTTATCAAAAAACAACTTTTTTTTATTCATTCATTTACTAGAGGGAAGAAATTTTCGTTTGATAATTGAAATAAATGTATAAATTTAAACGTCATTGAAAGTGCACTTCTTGGAACTACTGAAAAGTTCATTTTGATTCATAATGATTATTTTTCAAGATCACTGACAAGGGAAGTGCACGAGATACCTAACGCGGATTAGAATGAGAGAGGTATCATTGGATAGAGCATGTTGAGTTATGAAAAACCATATTGTGGATCCTATTATAAACCCTACTTTTTCTGGAAATTAAGTGGTTCCTCACATATTTGGGTTTGAAATTTGGCATTTTCTTTAAATCATTTTAATAATCTTAAAATTATCTAATCAGGCGTAGCCTAGTAGGTAAAGGATGTTGGTTTAAGGCAAAAAATTTATTGAACAGTAAGAAAGGTTTACAAGTTTACTTCTCTGGGTCTACATCACAACTGTTGTTGGTTTAAGGTTAACTCTTATTTTTAAGAGGAGATTCAAATTTACTTTTTCAACTGTCATCTTCATCACAAAGACATTTGTAAGATGACCTTTAGGTTATTGAAGTAAAAACTGGTTTAGTGAAAGGATAAGTTAAGGAGAAAGTATTGAGAAGAAAAATGAAGTAATTATGTTTGAGCTTTTTAAAGCTAAGTTGGACATTTGTGAAGCACACTGCGAAGGGTTGAGTCAATTATTTTATTCTGAAGATGATCAGAGTTTAAGACAATTAGTAAAATGAGTCGGATTTGAATAACACATGAAAATCATTAATTAATAGTAGAATCAAGGAAATATCATGTTTGGGTTAAATTTTAAGGCATCATTAAGTTTAATTAAATGAAACTTACATCTATCGAACGAGCTTGAAAAGGGCTTTCAAATGATGTACTGAATTAATGATGAAGACATTAATTGTTGGTGAAATAAGATGATTCTTTGAAATATTCAATATTCTTGGAAAAACATGAAAGTTAAATTATATCGGTTTGTAGCTCAACACTGGATCAAGTTACAGACATGAAAAATATAAGCATTAAAAGTATTTTAGATGCTCTTTCTAATGATATGTTGATTGTCTTTGTCGGTTGTTTAATTCTGTTAATTTAGTGGGGTCGCCAGGATTACTTTCACCATTATATTCCCTATGTAAATACATAGAGTTTTGACGCCGGGCAAGTTAATGTTTTAAGAGATCGAGTCAGGTTACAGTAATCAATTATATATCATTAAATAGATCTCAAAGAGACGAAGCTAATGATATATAAATCAATGTTGAAAATTATTTGGTTGATGAATAGATGATGCTCAAGTTTGAGTCCAAAAAGTGAAAAAATTTAAAAATTTAAGGTTAAATGAAATTAATGATAAATATGCTTCTAAGAGTGAATCTGTTGTAGTCATGAAGTCTGATTATAACCAACACCTTCCCTTGCTTCACACATGTCCTTACAAAAAATAGGTAATGAGTAAATAAATGAAATGATAAAAATGAGATACAAGATCGGTAAATGTATTGTTAATTGTAATTACTGCTTTTCGGTTAAGTTAAATCAAAAATTATGTTAATATTAAAGTTAAGTAATGAACATTAAGAACTCAGAATGTTTGTTTGGTTATGGTTTTGTGCATCAAATAAAAGTAAGAAAATCATTGAATGAATTTTAGTTTCAAGAAATGTTTAGTAATTGTTTGCAGTGATTAAAGGATGGAGAGCAAAGTGATTTGGTTAACATGTCGGCAGGTTGATCTTTTGTTGAAATGAAATAAATCTTAATAAAACCCTGTTCTTGGTAATCGCGAATAGCGTGAAAACGAATGTCGATATGTTTGGTTCGTTGATGAAATACATTATTTCGGGTTAACAATATTGCTCCCTGATTGTCATTCATAATTTTTATTGGCAATTCAATGTTGATCGAAAGATCTTTGAATAATTGAATGTACCAAAGTACATCTTTCATACATTCAGCAATTGAAACATATTCAGCTTCGGTTGTTGATTGAGCTACACTTCTTTGCAATCTTGAGCACCAAGAAATCGGTGATTTAGCTAAGGTAACAACAAAACCTGATGTTGATTTTCTAGTAACAACATCAGCAGCATAATCAGCATCGGCATAACCGATCAGATTGAAATCATCAGGTGAATAACAATAACTAATACCAACATTAACAGTACCTTTCAAATATCTGAAAACTCTTTTAATTGCTTTCCAATGCTCTTCATTATGTTTAACATTAAATTGAGATGCTTTATTTATTTGAAATGTAATATCAGGACGACTGATAATTGATAAATAGAGAAGAGCTCCGACAGCTTCTTGGTAAGGAATTTTTGGATCTGATTCAGTTTCAGATGGAAGTAATTTAATGTTCGTGTCACCTGGAGTAGAGACTGGTTTACAGTCGCACATGTTGAATCTTTTGAGCAATTCTTTTATGTAATATGATTGTTTTATTGAAATCTTAGATCGATCAGGAGACTGCACAATCTCCATTCCGACAAATATTTCAGGTGAATGTATCTTAATTTCAAACTCGGTTTTCAATGCATTTGAGAAATTAATTAACTCCGATTCAGAGGTACTCGAAATGAGACCATCATCAACATAAATTACTACGATAGTTAAATTGTTTCCATCGGATTTTGAGTAAACACAATTGTCAGCAATACTTTGTTTAAATGATAACTTCAATAAAAATTCATTAATTCTAGCATTCCATTGTCGAGGAGCTTGTTTCAGACCATAAAGGCCACGTTTTAATTTAAGTATTTTATTAGGATTGGATTCGAAACCAGGAGGATGGTTCATGTAAATATCTTCTTCAAGTTGACCATAAAGAAAAGCGGTCTTAACATCAAACTGAACAAGGAACATTTTGTATTGACAGGTAATGGCGAGGATGGCTCGAATGGAATCGTATCGAGCAACAGGACTAAAAGTCTCAAAATAATCAATTCCTGATTTCTGAGCATAACCGCGAGCAACTAATCTCGCTTTGAATCTATCAATAGATCCATCAATTTTTCTTTTAATTCGGAAGACCCAACGACAATCAATTGGACTTTTATCTTCAGGTAAGTCAACAAGTTCAAAGACATTATTTTGTTTCAATGAATTTAACTCTTCTAACATTGCCTTATACCAATGATTTCGGTTAACACTATTCATCGCTTCATTGTAGGTATTTGGTTCATCATTTTTGTGTACAATTTCATGTGCAATCTGAGCAACATTTTCTTTATCAATTTCATTATTATCATTCTCGCGTTCAACTGTTTCATTATTTTTAGCATTTTCATTTGTTTCAATTTCTTTATTATATCTGACAATTTCCTCGAAGTCATTAGTTTGCTCATTCATTACTTGGTCAATAGCTTCTTGAGCATCACACTGATTGTCTAAAAACTTAGCATCTCTAATCACAGTAACGAAATTTCTTGTTGGATCAAAAACCTTGAAGTTACTTGTGGTATCGGTGTAACCAACAAATATATACTTCTTCGATTTTGGATCCCACTTCTTGCAAA